TGCCACCGGATACCCGGACGCGTTTTGGGTAAGTGTCCGGTGGTATCCGGCAGGTATCCGGATACCGGAAACTGCATTTTTTTTGCAGTGTCTATGTCAGCATTGAGTTTCAGGTTCTGTGCCTCACTGTGCTTTGTTACAGTTCTAGCTCGTTGGTAACTGGAATTACACTACAACTCGCAACTTGACATGGAATCACGAAACATCACGATGATTGTTTAACGAAGAAAGCTGCATGTGTGCTCATACAAGCCATTAACACGATAAGGAATATCAGTTTCAATAATGACACATTCGCGAAGACCCGGGTTAGAATAGGTCTTCAGCAACCCATGCTTGCCATAGTAGGCGACTATGCTTGTCGTAAGAGGCGACTAACGGGATCGGGTGGTCAGGCTCGTTGACTTGGTTGATACATGTTATAGTATCCCACTTGCGTCAATTAAGTATGATAGTCACGTTTTATTTCTTTCAGCTCGTGCCCGTAACGTACGTACGCTGCACACGCTGCTAAATATATGTTGGATTGTAACCACATGATCAAAACTTAACGATGATATTTACCTTCAGCAAAATGTATATTTCTTGAAAAGCGCACATTTAAATTTTGTCATTACTGTACGTAATATTCCTTAATGGCGTGTTTTCAATTTATAAGTAGTGCACACATCCAGCTATCTTCGTAACTTAATCAACGGGATATTCGCGATTCTATTTCAAGTGAAGAGGACTATAGCCCAGTTTAGAAACCAGTTCGATTGTCCGTACACGCAATTCCCGTTTAACGGTTTAAACACTTACAGTACGTTAGGCTCCAAATGAGAACGATGTGTTGCAAACAGCTCCATCAGTAATTGTCACCATCAGCAGAGACACAAGCAATTTCGGACGACGAGGGCCGTAACATGAGCGAGTCAGATTTCGATTAAAATTATCATGAGACGACCCTTCTTATGGTGTCATTCCCTGTACAGTTGTGTAGCACGTGCAGTACGTGTTTGCGCTGTTCCTCCTACCGTTGTGCCCCCCTCCGTTCAAGATGTCAATTTGTACACATAACAACATGATAGTTTCTTAAACAACGTTTTCCAGTGATGGGAATAAAATTAACAAACAACGGATCTTGTTAGGTACAAGGTATTCATTGCCGTACCGTATTGACATTAAATAGACTGTTCCTGATTTTGAGTTATTTTGCAATTCATCTTTCTCATTTGGAGCCAAACGGATTGTAGATACCGTTCAGTAGTGACGCGGAACTGAAATCAGCATACGTGCTGTATGTACAGCTGTTGTGTGAGACGATTGATGAATGGTTTGAGTGAGGGGCTATTGCTGCATTGATTTAATGATGCCACGAGACGTGAGCAGGCGGCGCCGTCAGTGACAACAATTTCCGTGGCAACACATCCAACTTTAGGAGGCACTGCTATGTGATTGATAGGAGCTAAGATACCAATATCAGGAACTTATGTTTGTTTTACGACTAATCTTTACCCGATGTGAATGTAGATCTCAAGCATGTTGTGTCTAAGCCTACTGTGTCTGTTATTCAGAGTGTGCTCTAGTGTAGTGGTGTCTCAAGGGAGGGTATCAGTAGTCAACTGGTGTCTCAAGGGAGGGTATCTGTAGTCTACTAGTGTCTCAAGGGAGGGTATCTGTTGTCTACAGGTGTCTCAAGGGAGGGTATCTGTAGTCTACTGGTGTCTCAAGGGAGGGTATATGTAGCCAACTGGTGTCTCAAGAGAGGGTATCTGTAGTCAACTGGTGTCTCAAGGGAGGGTATCTGTAGTCAACTGGTGTCTCAAGGGAGGGTATCTGTAGTCAACTGGTGTCTCAAGGGAGGTATCTGTAGTCTACTGGTGTCTCGAGGGAGGGTATCTATAGCCAACTGGTGTGTCAAGGGAGGTATCTGTAGCCTACTGGTGTCTCAAGGGAGGTATCTGTAGTCTACTGGTGTCTCAAGGGAGGTATCTGTAGTCTACTGGTGTCTCGAGGGAGGGTATCTATAGCTAACTGGTGTGTCAAGGGAGGTATCTGTAGCCTACTGGTGTCTCAAGGGAGGGTATCTATAGCCAACTGGTGTGTCAAGGGAGGTATCTGTAGTCTACTGGTGTCTCAAGGGAGGTATCTATAGCCAACTGGTGTGTCAAGGGAGGTATCTATAGCCAATAGGTGTGTCAAAGGAGGTATCTGTAGCCTACTGGTGTCTGAAAGAAGAGTATCTGTAGCCCACTGGTGTCTCAAGGCAGGGTATCTGTAGCCTACTGGTGTCTGAAGGGTGAGTATCTGTAGCCCACTGGTGTCTCAAGGCAGGGTATCTGTAGCCAACCGGTGTCTCAAGGGAGGGTATCTATAGCCAACTGGTGTCTCAAGCGGGGGTATCTATAGCCAACTTGTGTCTCACGGGATGATCTCTGTAGTCTACTGGTTCCTCAAACCGGGGTGTCTGTATTCCACTGGTGTCTCAAGGGAGTGTGTATGTAGCCAACTGGTGTCTCAAGAGAGGGTATCTGTAGTCAACTGGTGTCTCAAGGGAGGGTATCTGTAGTCAACTGGTGTCTCAAGGGAGGGTATCTGTAGTCAACTGGTGTCTCAAGGGAGGTATCTGTAGTCTACTGGTGTCTCGAGGGAGGGTATCTATAGCCAACTGGTGTGTCAAGGGAGGTATCTGTAGCCTACTGGTGTCTCAAGGGAGGTATCTGTAGTCTACTGGTGTCTCGAGGGAGGGTATCTATAGCCAACTGGTGTGTCAAGGGAGGTATCTGTAGCCTACTGGTGTCTCAAGGGAGGGTATCTATAGCCAACTGGTGTGTCAAGGGAGGTATCTATAGCCAATAGGTGTGTCAAAGGAGGTATCTGTAGCCTACTGGTGTCTGAAAGGAGAGTATCTGTAGCCCACTGGTGTCTCAAGGCAGGGTATCTGTAGCCTACTGGTGTCTGAAGGGAGAGTATCTGTAGCCCACTGGTGTCTCAAGGCAGGGTATCTGTAGCCAACCGGTGTCTCAAGGGAGGGTATCTATAGCCAACTGGTGTCTCAAGGGGGGGTATCTATAGCCAACTTGTGTCTCACGGGATGATCTCTGTAGTCTACTGGTTCCTCAAACCGGGGTGTCTGTATTCCACTGGTGTCTCAAGGGAGTGTGTATGTAGCCTAGTGTGGAGAGGGACTGTCAAAGTATATGTGCCTGTAACGTTGTTTATCTGCCGATGTGGTGCCCGTGGTCTGTGAGACTGTCGCGTGTACAGGCACTTACATAGCGGAGGATGAAAGGGGTGAATGGCGGTGTGAGCTGTGTGACTCAGCGGATAAAGATGTATACCTTCCACTCCTGATCATTTGATCACATTCGGCAATCAATATCCAAAGCCGCTTATATGGGAAGGGGGCATGCGCTAAGGGAGCATCACATTGTGAAGATCCTTGCAGCAATTAGACGACTGCTGAGTCGGATGCTGGTGATTAGATGGATGCTACCAACGTCACTGCTCATATTGATCATCCGATATGTTTCAGATTCAATGCTGAATAATTGTGACAGTCTTGTGTTATATGTATATATAAGTCTTGAATCTGTGTCCATGCATGGTCCAATATGTGTCTATTCACTGTCTAAATTATGTGTCCATTCACGGTCTAGATTATGCATGTGTCCATTCAAAATCTAAAATGTATGTCCATCAATGCTCTATAATATGTGTCCATTAATGCTCTAGATTCTGTGTCAATCCATGGTCTAGAATCTCAGTCAATCCATTGTCTATGATCTGTGTCAATCAATGGTCTAGAATCTTTGTCAATCAATGATCTAGCATATGTGTGTTAATCAAGAGTCTAGAATCTGTGTCAATCCATGGTCTAGAATCTGTCAATCAATAGTCTAGAATCTTTGTCAATAAATAGTCTATCTAGAATCTTTGTCAAGCAATGGTCTAGAATCTGTGTCAATTCATAGTCTAGAATATGTGTCCATCAATGGTCTAGAATATCTGTCAATCACTAGTCTACAATATTTGTCAATCAAAGGTCTAGATTCTGTATGAATCAATGGTCTAGAATCTGTGTCAATCCATAGTCTAGAATATGTGTCAATCAATAGTCTAGAATATCTGTCAATCACTAGTCTACAATATTTGTCAATCAAAGGTCTAGAATCTGTATGAATCAATGGTCTAGAATCTGTGTCAATCCATAGTCTAGAATATGTGTCAATCAATAGTCTAGAATATCTGTCAATCCATAGTCTACAATCTTTGTCAATCAAAGATCTAGAATCTGGGTCAATCAATAGTCTAGAATCTGTGTCCATCCATGGTCTAGAATCTCTAATCTATGGACGGAAACTCCCTCTCTCATGTTTCTCTCCTTTCACCTTTTTCTCTCCTCTCTTTTTTATCTGTATCCCTCCCCTTCTGTCTCTGTTGTATATCAACAAGCGTACTCAAGCACTGGGGTCAAGTTGGCCTGACATGTTTTAATACAGGGTATATATGAAGCCTTGCAGTATGCCTCCCTTCTCCCTTCCACGCACGCTCATTGCACTAGATGATGAAACTTAAAGATGGTGTTATCAGTCATAAATCAAGATAATAAAAAATCTTACACACATATGCACTGTGACTTCGCTGACGTTGGAAACAGTACGGCGGAGTGACGACAACCTTTATCAAATACCGATTTTCAAAATAATGTCTGACTCGAAACATGCATTGACATGAGGAAGTGTAAGTTCAATCGCCAGAGATTATCGACTGCCAATAGCTGATGTGACATCGATCATTACCTACAGACACACTAAATACACACGCGTGAAAATCACTGGTTTTATGCCAGGTACATGAGGTAAAGGGTTAAGTTATTGATCATACATACAATGGACGTAATACAAGTCTATCGTCAGCGTATCAAAAGCCACGAACAAATACATGTACATAAACACAGGTAGAGCCTATAAACAATACACCGTCTTCCAAGCTTTAAATGATAAAATATTACCTACCAATATGCACGTAGTTTGGTCGCTCCTTCCTCGAAGACTTCCAGGAACCCGGAAGTGATGGAGGTGAACGCTGATGCTTAGTGACCGGACTGGCTGTTATAGAATGACCACTTCGTCAGATGGAAAATCGTGCGTTTGTGGCAAGCCCTCACATCGGATCCCTCCAGCCTGAGGGCTTGTATTGATCAGCTGATTCCGACTGCGCTAAAGGCTTGGGAAGAGCGAGCAACGGGCAGGCTGCTGATGTGGGGAATTCGGCTAAAAATATCCACTTTCAACCTAAGTCTAATAAATCAATTAATCGTATGGGGACTGAAGAAATACTATTATGAGATTGGCTACCACTTTCTCCAAAGCATGTTGAGATATGTGTCACTGGCTGTCTTGATAGGCGACAGTTAACGTTTATCGATGTTTTTGTCAGCTTCATCAGTGCCTGGGGAGGCATCATTACACGGCCCCGATATCGGGGGATCCGGATCATGTTACGGGGATGTCTCAAACCGACATCAACTGCATCAATTCTCTGGGATGACTTGCGATTGACTAGCATTCATACGTTCACAATGTTGTTAGAGTGTTTTCTAAAGTCGGCCAAATTTGTTATTTTGGTGAAAACTTTGCGCTCTCCTCTCAATATTACGGTTGTAAGAGAGTGTGGCGTGTGTCATTCTCCAGTTACTTCGACACACTGAAATGAAGATTTACTTAATTTAATGTTTAGATAGTACCTCAATAAGGACATGTCAAGGTAAAAAGTCAAACAAATCGGTCATTATTAATTAAGCAAAAGGGTATATATATAATCTGATCGGAACTGTCGATTACTCGAGAAAATACTGTTACAAAAGTCGATAATTCGATGGCAGGTGATGTTAGTTTCTACGTATATTATAGGATCATCTAGGTAGATAGATGTAAGTTGTTTAGATTGTGGCACAACTGCGCTTCCATAGTTGGGGGCCTATCCTGAAATGCCCACGGTTTGCAGATTTCATTCATTTGAACAGTGTACATGGTAGAACACCACGTGTAGACCACCTCAGGTAGAACACCACAGGTAGAACACCACAATCAGGACATAACCTCAGACGTTCATCACCGTCAAGTCCACACGATCTTCACACAATACGCGACCCGTGAAGATCCGGGGTAGAATAGGTCTTCAGCAACCCATGCTTGCGATAAAAGGCGACTGTGCTTGTCGTAAGAGGCGACTAACGGGATCGGGTGGTCAGGTTCGCTGACTTGGTTGATGCATGTCATCGATGACAATCGCGTGGATCGATGCTCATGATATCAATCACTGGATTGTCTGGTCCAGGCTCGATTATTTACAGACTGCCTTCATATAGCTGGAATATTGCTGATTGCTGCTTTAAACAAAAAAACAGCCAACCAAGCAATACGCAACTCAAACAGATCGTTCATTAAGACGAATATTTGCAGTATTCGAACACATTTCTTGCCTTCACTTTTGAATTATAGTTACATTGAAACATTTATCCTCCAGTTTTGATCTTTTAGCTATAGGTACATGCTTGATCTTGGCCAAAGACAGTTTAAACCAGCTGCATGCCCCCACTTAAAGACAACTGCTTACATGATACATGTAATCTACGTTATGTTGTTATCTTCGTGGTTGATGGCAATAAAAGAGTTATTTAAGTAATTACGGCAAACCCTAGACTACTGCTTGTCATGTGGTGTAGTATCTTCTGTGACGTCTAAGAGCGAGTGAATGAGTGAGTTGGGTTTAACGCCGCTTTAAACAGTATTCCAGTTATATCACCTCGTCAGCTTAATGTGGGAGGAAAGCCCGAAGTGATGCAGGTCTCAGACGTTCACGACTTCGGTGAAACCCACGAGCACGGGTATGGTGCTGACAAACCTAGAAACATAATCAGGGCGAACCGGGAAATCGAATTGGGATACGACAACATGCATCAAGCAAGTCAATAAGCCTGACCACCCGATCCCGTTAGTCGCCTCTTACGATAAAGCATGGGTTGCTGATGACCAATTCTCACCCGGATCTTTACGGGTCGAACAATACATCCTTCCATAGAAAATAGATTAAAGAAACTGAATATGATAATTCCAAACTAGCATTCACATACCGTATCAAACACATCACCGTCTAATAACCATTGCTTGTTTGTTGTAATCTCAGCCACCATCACACTTTCTTTTGCCCGTCGGTTTATGTTCACAAGCGTTCACCCGGAGAGCGGAAGGTCCGGGGTTCGATCCCAAGCCGCGTCATACCAAAAGACGTTAAAAGATGGTACTTGTTGTTACCCTGTCTTGCGCTCGGCATTAAGGGGCTAAAACAAGGACTGGTCGGCTCGGAGTCAGTATACTGCGTCTGAGTGGGGTATTCATGTAAAACTGCAGCATGGTATCTCAGTGTGCTAGCACTATGAATCGGCATCAGTCCGGACTAGTACAAGCAGCCACACACACACATACACGTATATGCACGTCGCTATATAAGTGCAAAAATCTTGGACGCGACGTTAAACCCCATTTCACCTCACCACTTTGTGTTCACTACAGCTATATAAGCAAATGATGAACGTTTTGTGGGAATTGATGTTTAAGAATAATACCGCAACGTATATATGTATACAGTCATTATGTTTGTTTGTTTGTTTTTTAACGCCGCACTCAGCAATATGACGGCGGTATGGACCAGACAATCGCCTCTTACGACAAGCAGAGTCGCCTTTTACGGCAAGATTGGGTTGCTAATGACTTATTCTACCCCGGATCTTCACGGGTCATATACATTATGTATAAATCGCAATAGTTTTGATAACGGTAATATCTGTATGGAACATTTAAACAATATCTCAGATACATATCAATTCTACACCAAACAGTTGAAACGCTCATAAAATGCCCAAGGCATATCTAAAAAAAAAGGATTCCGTTTCAATACACGAAACGAACGCGCCTCGAACGTTTTGAAAGTCACCCCTGTCACGAGACAGGGGGCACGGGTGGCCCAGTCGTCTAAGGTGCCGCGATTCACTGTGCAGAGTTGCGTCCCTTGGGCACGCCAGAAACCTATGATTGTGGGTTCCAATCCCGATTCGCCCCGATTATGTTTCTTGGTTTGTCAGCACCATACCCGTGCTCGTGGGTTTCACCGAAGTGGTAAACGTCTGAGACCTGTATCAGTTCGGGCTTCCCTCCCACATTAAGCTGACACGCCGTGATATAACTGGAATACTGTTAAAAGCGACTCGCTCACTCACTCACTGTCACGAAACACAAGTGCCACGATGAGACATTTAAATTTAAAAAACGTAAAAATATATACCAATGGTGCATATTAATGGAGTACCCTGGTTAAACTGCAGTATCTCAGTAGGCTAGTATAGTTAAGTATCTCAGTGGGCTAGCACTATAGAACCGGCAGTAGTCCGGACTAGAACAAGTAGCCCCCCACACACGCGCGCTTGCTTGCACGTCGCTTCATAATCTTGGACGCGACGTACAGCCCCTTTTCATCTCACCTCCCCGTCAATATCACCCCAGGAATAGAAAGTATGTTCCTCCACACCCCGGCCCCTCTTTCCCGGAATACTGGTATATGATGTAAAACAATGCTCTCTTTTTACTCAAACGGTAAAAGTTTAAACAGTGCGTGAGTCTGGTTTCACACCGCTTTCAACAGTATTTAAGTTAGTTTCCTAAAATTGGTATTACACGGGAGCTCCTTTGGTATTTTATTTATTACTTTGAACCTCATTTGATTGAACTAGGGGAATTCCCTTCAGAAAATGGGCCAAGAGTGTCATAAGTATATAGGCAGACATGGAGGCAGTCAGTTTAATGTGTGTGAGTGCCCAGACTTGACCAGTGGTCATATTGCATATTGTTTTTTCTCTAGTATGGACTGATGGCGGCTTGACAGACGCTGAACGAGTTGGAGTCGCTGACCTCTAACCCCTCACAGATTGACGCTGACCAACTGGCTAATTTTACAAATATCCTGGAGAAGGTGTTCACCAACTCGCTGCTTAACGCAGAGGTACGTCATGTCGTCATGTGCGCACACACACACATACGCTCGCACTCACGCACGCACGCAGACAAACAAACACACACACACGTCGCTATGTAATTGCATTAACCTTGAACGCGACGTTAAACACCATTTCACCTCATCCCACGTCCCCGCTGTGTTGCGTCATTACTGCTGAAGAAGGCGTAAAATCTCACTTAATAAGTTGTAAGCCCTGATCAAAACGTCCATTAACACTGCAGCCAAAAACCTAAAACGTCACGGTTTGGGAAGCAAGGACCGGCTTTCATCAGCGGCGTTGCGTGCAAACAGCTAAACCCACAAGGTTACAGCACCCTGGTTCAACCTGTTGGACTATCGAGAGGAATCTATCAAACATAAACATTTGATGGAAGAGAAAGCGGTGCGCTATTGAAAACAAGGTGAGGTGAAATGGGGTTTAACGTCGCGTCCAAGATTATTGCACTTATATAGCGACGTGCATGCTTGTACTAGCCCGGACTGATGCCGATTTATAGTGCTAGCTCACTGAGATACCATGCCGCAGTTTAACATGAATACCCCACTCAGACACAGTATACTGACTCCGAGCCGACCAGTCCTTGTTTAACCCAGGGCGGACGCTCTACCACTAGACCACGGAGGCGGTCATTGAAAACAAGCAACAAGACAGATCCCAGTCGGAGTGATGCAGAGGCATCACACAATTAAACAATAAACTAGCGCTTGAATTAACAAAGATGACGTTTACAGAAGCAAGTGAGTGTGTGTGTGTGCGTGAGTGTGTGTGTTTGTTTGCGTGCGTCAATGTATGTGCGTGTATGTGTATGTACATTTGCGTGTGCGTGCGTGTAGGTGAATACTCACATCAGTTTTAGAACCATGAGGCTCATGCTTAAAGCGTTTGCCCGCACGTACATTTCACGCGTGCACACACAACACTCACGTACATAACTTATGTACAAAACTTACGTACATAACTCGTTTATAACTCACACGCATACCTCTCACGTATAACTCAGGACATTACGCCATTTTGCCTGTTCAATGAGTGAGTGAGTAAGGTTTTACGCCGCTTTTAGCAATATTCCAGCAATACCCAGCGGGGGACACCAGAAATGGGCTTCACACATTGTACCCATGCCGGGAATCGAACCCGGGTCTTCGGCGTGACGAGCGAACGCTTTAACCACTAGGCTACCCGACCGCACCTGCCTGTTCAATGAGATACAGTAATGGCGGATCCATTCACTTGTTTCTCCTAACCACGCCTGGTACTGTGAAACCGTGTCAGGACAGATATTTGTCTTTTGTATAACAGTTAATGTCTGTCTTATATCATCTGCTGTTTCATACCCCAGTGAAAGGGAAAAGGAGTTTTTACCAATTGTAAAGCGAACTCCAGCCGTGATGACACATTATCTGGACCTAGACTGTATGTTTATCATTCGGCGAAACCCACAAGCATGGTATGGTGCTGACAAACCTTGAAGCATAATCCGGGCGAACCGGGATTCGAACCCACGATCGTTTTGCGACAACTGGGCCATCCGTGCCTCCCAAACAGGTGAGGTGAAATTGGGTTTAACGTCGTGTCCAAGATTATTGCACTTATATACCGACGTGCATGTACGTGTATGGGTGTGGCTGCTTGTACTAGTCCGGACTGATGCCGATTTATAGTGCTAGCACACTGAGATACCATGCCGCAGTTGTACATGAATACCCCACTCAGACACAGTAGACTGACTCCGAGCCGACCAGTCCTTGTTTTAGTCCCTTAATGCCGACCTCCAGACAGGGTAACAACAAGTACCATATTTTAACGTCTTTTGGTATGACGCGGTCGGGGATCGAACCCCGGACCTTCCGCTCTCCGGGCGGACGCTCTACCACTAGACCACGGAGGCGGTCGTCTCCAAAATAGCCACGAGGACACAACAGCGCAGTTTGAGAAGTAAACATTTATTTCAACAAAGGATAAATAAATTATGCATTCTTATAAAATGGCATCTCTGTACAAATCCTATGTTATGACCCGACAAGGATTTCATCAATGTTTGGCATGAGTTTCTCCAGCAGTAATACTAGATGTGATGAGGATGAGGATGAGGAACAGTGCGAAGTCGAGTTGGAGCGTTCAGCATTGCTCATATTCACATTAACCGATAGCAAGGGATGAAGATTGTGCCGTGTGTTATGGTAATGGATGAAACACTGGCAGCAGTTGTCTGAGAATGTTAAGAAATAAATCCAGAAAATATAAATGGGAATATAGAACAGAAATAGATGGATAGGCTTGGGATACCAGTATATATGTAATGGCAGTGTTGTTCAACAACGCATGATTGCAAAAATATGACGACAACCAAGAGGCAAGGTTAGGTTAATATCATGTTTTCCGGTCAATAGTATGTATAAAGTGAAACCTCATTAATCCGGACTGCACATTAAGTAGTGAAAACAATGACCGGATTAAGGAATCATGGGTACGGGGGAAGTCCTTTGGTCATATATCGACGTTCCCCGCCGTAGTCGCCGGCCCGGATTAACAGTGTCCAGACTAGAGAGGTTTCACTGTAAAGGGTGTGGTAGAAAAGGATAGGACTTATTTTTCCAAAATTAAAATGAATATGTCAATCCTCATTATTACACCTTCGAATGTTTTTTTTTATAATTTCAATATTGACAAAGTTATCTAAAGCACAATTGTAAATATTTCGCGTAAATCACAATATTAAAGATAAGTTATCAATAAGGGACTATCTTTAAGTTTTTTATGTGTTCAATCTGTATTTTAGTATATCGTCTGTAAAATACATTGGACAAGCACATTTATGATCAATGACATAAGTCTTTTTATGTACATAATTTACATAACAAATGGTGTAATTATTCAAATGTGTATTAGGTCGTTGATGAAGGTTAGAAATTCAATGTGAAGGACATTCAATGCTCATTTTAAGTTTCCCATGACGTGATTGTCTCAAACAATACAATGTACACACACAGAACAACGTGACACAATGAAATACATTAACAGCGTCGGAATATGTACAGACAAGCACATCACTCGGTTCCTGTGACGTGGAACATGTGCTTCCCGTTGAATGGTATCTGAGAGAGTTACCTCCCCTTGTATGTGACTTCAAGTCCAAAGTTCACAGCTCAGATACATTGCACCATTCATTGCCGTGGCATAATATACACAATACTCGACTCCTCACAGCGTCAAGGAATCCGCTCATTGTACGATTAGTCAACGACTTATCCTCCTTCAGTTCAAAATGATGTTGAGAGTTTGAAACGGTTCCTATGAAGACGCTTCAACTGGTTCTACAAGTGGGTGAAGACGCTTCAACTGGTTCTACAAGTGGGTGAAGCCGTCTTCACACATGTCGCTGGTCCGAGTGGGAGGGGTGTTATTGTCTAAATACACGTAATCTTTTGTGTGAAAAACTTGGTCCTCAGAATTTTTATCGTCGCCGAAGTACTGGTTGTCATTTCGCACAGAACCGTTTTCGGATTGCAGCCCGTTCAGCTTCGGGTGGTGCCAGCCATTGGATTGCATCACATTGGATTTGAGAGTGCCACCGAAATGGACGTTAGTTCTGGATTTGGAGTGATCTCCTTTCGACGAGGTCTCGGAGTAGACAGACTTGATTGGACCTCTCCTGGTTTTGAGGGTACCCGTCTTTATCAGCTGGATCCAGGCGAGTCGCGCCTCTGGGTTGTAGAGGCACCGGAATACGAAGATGAAGAATCCTTGCAGTGAGTTGAGGATGCAGAACAGATAGTTGAAGACGACCCTGGCTTCGTTGACTGCAATTGGTCCAAACACCCACGTGACACCAAGGAGAATCATGACTGTGAAGGCTCCGCGCACCTGGGCGGGGGTCACGTGTTCCTTGTCCTCGCGCTGCTGTTGTTGAAAACGAGGCTTGAGGATGACCCTGGCCACCATGATGAAGACGATGGTGTTGACGAGGACGATGAGGCAGCCGGGGCCGACGAGGGAGACGTAGTAGGCCACCTTGTTGGCCTGGGAGATGAAACAGCTGCAATGATGAAAAGTGTTTCAGTCACTTGGGGTTTAACGTCCCTTTGAGTTATAATGAGTGCCAGCTTTAATTGAGAAAAGACGCAGGTCTTTTATGTTTGGTCATGTTTACCGCTCACGAGCGTGAGTTTGATGCTGCCTACAAAGGATCATAATCGGAGGTGAAACGGAATTGAACGTCGCGTTCAAGATTATTGCACTTATATCGCGTATGTGTGTGTGGCTGCGTGTACTAGTACTGGTTTTATAGTGCTAGCCCACTGAGTGAGTGAGTGAGTGAGTGAGTATGGTTTTACGCCGCTTTTAGCAATATTCCAGCAATATCACGGCGGGGGACACCAGAAATGGGTTTCACACATTGTACCCATGTCGGGAATCGAACCCGGGTCTTCGGCGTGACGAGCGAACGCTTTAACCACTAGGCTACCCGACCGCCTCGCTAGCCCACTGAGATGCCATACTACTGTTTATCATGGATACCCCACGGACAATCCTTGTTTTATGCACTTAATGTCGAACGCCAGGCAGGGCAACAACAAGTGCCATATTTTGGTGTGACGCTGCCAGCGGAGCGAACGAACACGGACCTTCCGCTCCACTAACAACAACACGGAGGCGGACCCTGGTAGCCGAATCTCTTCAACGAGTGTTTAGATCACCAGGACGCTGTGATATTGAAGTAATATTACTTACTTCGCCCTTATATTTTTATGTGGCGAACTTCGCCATGCTGTAGCAGCAATGATATCATTATAGAGCTGTTATGTTGCTGACTATGCGGTGAAAGAGTTTTAATATGACTTACTACGCCCTAACATAGCAGCAATGTTACTTTGTATGTTGTTTAGCGCCGCACTCAGCAATATTCAAAATATATGACGGCGGTCTGGAAATAATCAAGTCTGGACCAGACAACCGAGTGGATAACATCATGAGCATCGATACACGCAATTGGGATACGATGACATGCATCAACCAAGACAGCGAGCCTGACCGCCCGATCCCGTTAGTCGCCTCTTACGACAAGCATAGTCGCCTTTTTACGACAAGCATGGGTTGCTGAAGACCTATTCTACCCCGGATCGTCACGGGTCCAGATCTGTTGCTGATAATGTGATGTCGGTAAGTAGGCCATGCTATTGTAGAAATATTGTTGATAATGTCAAACGATACTCATCACGACTGTTGCTTTCAAGTAAATATATACTGATCTAGGCATTCTCATATCATGTTAAACTCCGTCTGGTGTTTAAGGGGTTACTGTGATGGGGTTAAAATACGCTGCGCGAACATGGAAAAAATAGCACAGCGCCAGTTCACTGATGTACTTACAAGTCATATGCGGGTCGGTAATTATTGAGGTCCACTGAGAGCGTGATCACAACTATCACCACGGGGACACCTGGAAGAGATATTTACAAACATGTCAATATCATGTAACTATTACGTGGATATCGTGTAAATATCATGTAAATATGTCGATATCTAGTAAATATTATGTAAATATCACGTAAATATGTAGTCTATACATCATGTCAGTATCACATGTAGTCGACTAAAGTAGCAATTCTCAACTGGCTGTGTGTGTGTGTGTGTGATCGGACGCTGCCGACGGGTGGTGCTCATGCTATCGACCAATACTGTCGAACACCAGCATGTCCAGCTGTAACATTACAGACAAGGGCCCGTTACACAGAGCGATCTTAGCACTACTGCTGTCGTAAGTCTTTGTTAAAGTATGGGAGTTGCGATCATGTTTGCCCTCTTTGGAACGGGGCCCCCAACGTTTAAAAACTGACATTCTGACTGACCCGCGTGGGGGATGCTTCTCGTGAGAGCGACACTTCTGACGTGACTGATGACGTGGAACGTTGATCACGCTGCAACCACTGATTTACCTGGCCCAGGCTCGCTTATTTACATGTCGCCGTGATAATTCTGGATTCTACCGTGAATTTGGAAAATACTCGATTTTGACTGGTCAATAAGAGGTTGTCAAATCACAATAAACTCCCTCTCATTAAAACAGCCGATTTGACGACGGCATCAACTCGGAAGGTAATATTCATAGAACAGTACTTTTTGCAGTCATTGTCGGTAGGCATGTTTAAATAATTCTACAATAAAAGGTTACAAAAGCAAAGTTACGGTTACTAATATTCAAAGGATGTGTGGCAATATATTTCGCGCAGAAAACACGATAGAAATCTACAAAGAGATTTAAATTAAACATTTAATATTAGTAACCTCAAGCTGCGCGTTCGGTTCCAAATTTAATTTAGCGCCGTTAAATTTACACAGTTGATCTGCTAACTGATTCGGCGTATAACCAACAATCCCTGATATACAATTGACCTACCCCATGCAACAACGCATCGCTTGATCATGTAGAACCTAGCATATTTGGCAAACACGGTGACGAGGGCTTGGTACATCTCCACCGCCTCAACCAGCATCCACATCAACGTCGTGAGCAGGAAGTAGTGCAGTAACACTGCGACGCCCATGCACAGCTGCTCGCCGTAGGTGGTGGAGCTCTGGGCGCCCATGAGGAAGGCGACGTTCATCAGCAGCATGGACGCGCAGAGATTCAGCAGAATCTTCCCCGACTTGTCTTTGTTCATACATCTGGTAACACAAATAAATACTTTTACTATTTCTCAAGATTTACATTAATATAAGACTTTTAAGTATATCTGATATTGATTTTGCCATTTGACACAAATCTAACTAAGTTTTAACTCTAGGATCTATATAAATTGAGTTCGAGACAACCGGAAATTCAACACATTCAGGTCCCAGTTCCACAAACCGATCGTAGCGCTAAGACCATAGTAACTCCATCCATGAACATATACTTGCGACGATCGTAGCGCTAAGGTCGACACATACGAATTCCAGGCAACGAGGTTTGACTGTAGTATAGACTTTGTAAACGTCTTTAATTGAATTATTGACAACAAAACACATCTTTTGGTGAATATGTCGATTTATAAAGGTGTTATATGATGGGTCACGTAGATGAATCGGGTTTTTCAATTCAATTTCATAGAATTTGTGAAAACCTTTGCCAGACTTGGCAATTAGTATATATTTCCAAGTGGTTTTGTCATCAACGATACTGGTTTCAGACGGATCTTCACGGGTCACTTCCAGAGCTACTGGTCTCGTTTACCTGAAGAGTGAGTGAGTGAGTATGGTTTTACGGCGCTTTTAGCACTATCCCAGAAATATCACGGCGGGGAACACCAGAAATGAGCTTCACACATTGTACCCATGTCGGGAATCGAACCGGCCGGGTCTTCGACGTGACGAGCGAACGCTTTAACCACTAGGCTACCCGACCGCTCCTTACCTGAAGAGCCCGTATGTGAGGATGGTGAGGATGAGGCCGATGAGGGAGATGGCGCAGCCGACGTAGGAGATGTAGGTCAGGATCTGTTCGTGTATAACGGGCGACGGGTGGGCGGGGTTCGGGTCCTGGAATCAACGGAGTGGTTAGTGTACAGTAAACTACGGTTATAACGAACTCAAAGGAGCCACTTTTTTTAGTTCGTTATAACCGTAGTTCGTTATAAGCATATGTATAGCAAATATACAGCAGTGGCCGGGACAAAAAAATAAGTTCGTCGAATCTGTTAGTTCGTTATAAGCGTGTTCGTTATAAACGTAGTTTACTGTACATTGTTAAAATATTGCTAATCACGGGTTATTGTGAGTTGGGTTTAAAACCGTATGAACAGTATACTATTAGTTATAATAGTTTGATGTGGAGGCAAGCCCAGAGTGATGCAGGTCTTAGACGTTTACCACTTTGGTGAGAGCACGGGTATGGTGCTGACACACCTAGAAACATAATCAGGACGAATTATTGGATTCGAACCCACGATCATAGGTTTCTGGCACTCTTGACGACCTCTGGTAGATGGGTCATAGATGAACTGTACACGAATGGTCTCAGAACGTGATATCCAACGAAATGGTAAAATAACGAATGTCTTAGGGTTTTTCAAAACACAAATTCCAAATGTGTCTATCCACTTACCATGAGTATGGCAAAGCTGGTGAGATGGTTTGTGTGACACTCGGTGGTGTTGTCGTCGAGCATTAACGTCGTCACGCCGTCGTACGACCACGTCCTATCTGCAATTACATGAATTAGAGAATGACATATTTGCAGAATCTCTCATAGCGTTTTCATTATCAGCAAATAGAACCTCTACCGAACTTTTTGCAGCAGAGAAACCTACAACACTACTTTACTTTTACAAATGAGAAATTTCGATATGATTTTAAAAAAGTGTTTTTTTCCATTTTTTAAGCACTAAAATGGTTATTAATGTGTTAGATGATATGATGAATGCGATCAAATCTGAGTGTCGAGTGAATAATTGTTACACCTTGGAAAAACTACAACTGGCCTCACATGTGGTAACTATATAGGCGGAGTAGTCTCCCTTGCACATGGTTCAATTTAAAATCGATAAATATGTTCTAAATTAAAACAAGATACCATCTTATTTTTCTGTGTGAAAGGTTTGAAATTATTTTATAATAAATCGATAAATATGTTCTAAGTTAAAACAATATACAATCATATTTTTATGTGTGAAAGGTTTTAAGTTATTTTATTATTTTATTAAAAGGGTTATTTCAGCGCTCAAGACTAATCTGACAAATTAAAACAGTAATAGAAACTATACTCTTATTGTGTAGGAAATGGTTTGGATTTCCATTTGATATGGAAGAGTCTGCATACACACAATACGATGACGTCATTGTCAGTGGCGCTCGTCAATTAATGAGGGTGACATGGAATTCAACTCACTTTCTGGGTCCCAGTAAACACAGGAGTGATTTCTGCCAGCCTGCAATGCAGATACATAACATTGTGGTGATTGATAATATACAGTTACACCTGGTTAACTCGAAGTCCTGGGGACCATCCAACACGTTTCGAGTTATCCATAATTCGAAACAAGCGGAGCACGCAAAAGACATGATTGCTATCAATTTTCAACGGGAACTATAATGCCACAGAGTTGAACTATATTGAGTTTATGGACTTCGTGGTAACGGGGATGGGAACTCTAATGCCAAAGTCTTTAACTATGTCGAGCTAAAGGACTTCGTGGTAACGGAGATGGGAACTCTAATGCCAAAGTCTTTAACTATATCGAGCTAAAGGACTTCGTGGTAACGGGGATTGGAACTCTAATGCCAAAATCTTTAACTATATCGAGCTAAAGGACTTCGTGGTAACGGAGATGGGAACTCTTTAACTATGTCGAGTCATAAGACTTCGTGGCAACGACGTTTCATTGTATGAACGTACTATTCAACATCTCTTTGTTTGTCACGATATGAATGAAATACAGCCGATGCTACTTTAAACTTTAACTCACAAACTCACTATTTCGTTATTTACGTTAGGTATAAAAAATGTATCTTTATTAAGAGTGAGTGAGTGAGTTGAGTTTTACGCCGTTTTTAACAGTATTCCAGTTATATCGAGGCGTGTCAGCTTAATGTGGGAGGAAAGCCCGAAGTGATGCAGGTCTCAGACGTTTACCACTTTGGTGAAACCCACGAGCACGGGTATGTGGCTGACAAACCTAGAAACATAATCGGGGTGAACCGGGATTCGAACCTACAATCATAGGTTTCTGGCGTGCCCAAGGGACGCAACTCTGCACAGCGAATCGCGGCGCCTTAGGCGACTGGGCCACCCGTGCCCTCTCTTTATTAAGAACAAATGATACTTCCTTTCTTTCAGTCATCTGCAAAGTTGGATAAAACATTCTCCCCGATCTATTTACTCAATGTAACAATTATATCTAACACAATACATTGTACAGTCCTCTGTGGAGCAGTGTCTCACCTCGATATTACGCATTTTGTAGATTATTGGGGTGGACAGGTTCTTGACCACTACACCCTTCACGATAGTCGTGACGACACGCTGGTCATCCAGTCCTTCTGGGAATCGGTCGGAGGGGATAAAAAACATTGACTTGCGGTAGCCGATAAACTGGACCCTCAAAGGCAGGCGTCCCATGCTGCTGGCGGATTTGATCGCCTCTGGTGGCAGGGTGATGGACAGACCACTCTGGAAGAAAAACATAACTGGGTCACATACAGGGGGCGCTGACATGATGTGGGACCGGAAGTTGAGATAGATGGAGACAGGAGGATGCTTCAGGATGATTTCTCACAGAATCTCACATTCCAGATATTTTGTCTCTTTTTGAACGAGAGTGGGTTAATGTTCAAATTTAGGGACATTAGAGTGAGTGAGTTGAGTTTTACGCCGCTTTGAACAGTATTCCAGTTATATCACGGCGTGCCAGCTTAGTGTGTGAGGAAAGCCCGAAGTGATGCAGGTCTCAGACGTTTAGCACTTTGGTAAAACCCACGAACACGGTATGGTGCTTACTAACCTAGAAACAAAATCGGGGCGAACCGGGATTCGAACCCACGATCATAGAATTCTTGCGTGCCCAAGGGAAGAATCTCTGCAAAGCAAATTGCAGCGCCGTAGACGACTGGCCCCCCGTACCCCCTTGTAGTCAAATGGGGTTTAACGTCACGTCCAAGATTATTGCTCTTATATAGCGACGTACCTGCACGTGTGTGTGTGTGGCTGCTTGTACTAGTCCGGACTAATGCCGATTATTTTGTGGTTGCCCACTGAGATACCATGCCGGAGTTTAACATGAATACCCCACTCAGACACAGTATACTGACTCCGAGCCGACCAGTCCTTTTTAGCCTCTTAATGCCGAGCTCCAGACAGGGTAACAACAGGTAGTCAAAGGACTAGTAGTCACAACATAGACATGGTTGTAGTAATAGTAGTAGTAACAGCACAAGTAGCCATCATTGTACTGTAGTGTAGTAGTGATAGTCGTGTGAATGATAGCAGTTTGATTTTGAGGGAGAACAGAGAATATCAGCAGTAGTCGTAACTGTAGTATTTAAATTTTGGAGAACTTGGGACAAAGAAATGCCTATTTGCACCAATGCAAATATCTTTATCGCAATAGAGTTGCCTCCCTTAGAACGAGCCCAAAGAACGCATAAATCAAATATATCCCTATCGCACTTTCTAATTTTATCGAAACTTCCAAAATATTCGAGATAGAAAAGTATCAAAGTATCATTGTATTTCATCGGAAAACTCCAATCAATGTTGCGCGGTAAATCCAGTGTCTAACCTATTCATCATAAAGATAAAACCTAATTATATCATGGTTATAAATATACGATGAGGATGGAAATACGGGGATGCTGGCAACTGCCTCTCGTTAGATACCCCACGGGAAGACTGTAGCAGCACACTGCTGTCAACAATTATGTTGGGGAAACAACGAGCCAGGTGACAATCATTGTTTCCAGAATACATTATGATACACAATAAGTCACTGTAGACACTCTAACCACACAACAACGACCTGGCCTCACAACACAAAGGCTAATTAAGCGCATCATAAATAAAGGATAACTTCACACGTGAGAGATATTTCTTTGTCTAATTGCGTCAGCTGGGCCTGACCCCGCGTGCACTGGGGTGTGTGGGGCACGTCCTGCTCTTGATTACCTGGCGGACTTGAGTCTTCACCTTATCTCTGTCGTTCTCTGGGGAGGGAACCATACACCAATCTACATCTTGGTGCTGGCAGTCAAGTCTGGGACGAAACGAGACTAACAACATGATTGTAGGCGCTTTTCTTTCTTGGGGTGATCAAACAGTATCCTCGGCACAAAGGGGCATATTTATACCAAGGAGCATATTTGTACCCGGGAGACTCCCCTGTACCAGGAGTATATTTATACCAGGGAGAATCCCTTTTACCAGGAGTATATTTATATCCGGGAGACTCCCCTGTACAAGGAGTATATTTATACCCAGGAGACTCCCCTTTACCAGGAATATATTTATACCCGAGAGACTCCCCTGTACAAGGAGTATATTTATACCCGGGAGACTCCCCTGTACCAGGAGCATATTTATACCCGGGAGACTTCCCTGTACCAGGAGTATATTTATATCCGGGAGACTCCCCTGTACCCGGAGTATATTTATACCCAGGAGACTCCCCTGTACCAGGAGTATATTTATACCCAGGAGACTCCCCTGTACAAGGAGTATATTTATACCCAGGAGACTCCCCTTTACCAGGAATATATTTATACCCGAGAGACTCCCCTGTACAAGGAGTATATTTATACCCGGGAGACTCCCCTGTACAAGGAGTATATGTATACCCAGGAGACTCCCCCGTACCAGGAGTATCCCCTATCTCCAGACGGGTCACCTATCCAAGGTCTATGCCTTATCCAAGGAGTATCCCCTATCCCAGGAGTATCCCCTATCCCAGGAGTATCCCCTGTCCTAGGAGTATCCCCAATATCCAGGAGTATCCCCTGTCCCAGGAGTATCCCCTACCCCCAGGAGTATCCCCTACCCCCAGGAGTATCCCCTGTCCTAGGAGTATCCCCTGTCCCAGGAGTATCCCCTGTCCCAGGAGTATCCCCTGTCCTAGGAGTATCCCCTGTCCTAGGAGTATCCCCTGTCCCAGGAGTATCCCCTACCCCCAGGAGTATCCCCTGTCCTAGGAGTATCCCCTATCCCAGGTCTATCCCCTGTCCCAGGAGTATCCCCTACCCCCAGGAGTATCCCCTGTCCTAGGAGTATCCCCTATCCCAGGAGTATCCCCTATCCCAGGTCTATCCCCTGTCCCAGGAGTATCCCCTATCCCAGGAGTATCCCCTATCCCAGGCGTATGCCCTACCCCCAGGAGTATCCCCTATCCCAGGAGTATTCCCTATCCCAGGAGTATCCCCTATCCCAGGTCTATCCCCTATCCCAGGAGTATCCCCAATCCCCATGAGTATCCCCTATCCCAGGTCTATCCCTATCCCAGGAGTATCCCCAATCCCCAGGAGTATCCCCTATCCCAGGTCTATCCCCTATCCCAGGAGTATCCCCAATCCCCAGGAGTATCCCTATCCCAGGTCTATCCCCTATCCCAGGAGTATCCCCAATCCCCAGTAGTATCCCCTGTCCCAGGAGTATCACCAATCCCCAGAAGGATCACCTCTACCATAACCTATGAACCAAGCGGCGTCTGAACTGAGAACAATCTGTTATATCCCTATATCTCCGACCTACCTCCACAGTGTGGTTGCCGTCAAGGAGTTGAGGTCGGAAGGTCACAACGTTGTTGTCGTCCGGCGAGAGGTCCATGGCTCTGATGTTGACGTTGGTGGACATGATGGGTTCTGTGTTGTTGGTGGAGGCGCTGTACGTCTCCAACAGCTGCACCAACCTGCACAGCATCAATATCAGCATCAACATCAGCATCAAACTGAGTTCATGGCTAGATGGGGCGCTACATTTCTTCATCACAGTACAATGTGACTAACACTCAGTCTAATACTTAGGCCCTATTTCACAAAGCGTCCCTAACGCTACCACTATCCTAAGCCGAGGTTAAGATTTGGGAACAGCCATCAAGAACTTGTTATTTTCTTAATTCATTCTGCGATTAAAAAAACACATATCGTTTTTCAGAATGGTAATGCATAGGTCTATCACGTACAATGAGTATAGGGAGTACATGGAAAAAACACAGTATCTCAGAATGAAATACAAAGTAATAGATTCCTAATATACTACCCAAATTGTGAAGAACACCCGATTCTCTCATATTACTATAGATACTCTCATACTCTGTCATGACATGAAAGAGTCGATCGTTCTTTAACTTCTTTTGTGTGGATTCCTGAGCATCGAGTGGTAGTAGACTTTTGACTTCAGCGTTCCAACACTGACCTTTGACTTGTCTTGTTTTTGTTGTCACACTCGATGCTGACGCTGACGTTCACCTCGGCGAGGTTGCTCACCACTGACGTCATGCTGTCGGCGATCTGTAAACAACGTTACATTGTAAACATTTCATTTTTCTCGCTACTAAACTTTTCTTGTTTGTGAATCTGAGGACAAGTTCTAATTGATATGAGTGAGTGAGTGAGTTGGGTTTAACGCCGCTTTTAACAGTATTCCAGTTATATCACGGCGTGTCAGCTTAATGTGGGAGGAAAGCCCGAAGTGATGCAGGTCTCAGACGTTTATCACTTCGGTGAAACCCACGAGCACGGGTATGGTGCTGACAAACCTAGAAACATAATCGGGGCGAACCGGGATTCGAACCCACAATCATAGGTTTCTGGCGTGCCCAAGGGACGCAACTCTGCACAGCGAATCGCGGTGCCTCGGGGCGAACCGGGATTCGAAGCCATCTAATTGATATGAAGCCGCCGCATTTCTCAGTGCAGAGTTGCGTCCCTTATGGGGCTCAAGTATCCTATGATAGTTGGTTCGACCCCCAGATTTGACCTGAATGTATCATTCTGTAGGTTTGTCAGCACCAGATTGTGTTGGGGTATTTCACAAAAGTGGCAAACGTCTGATACCTAAATCACTTCGGGATTTCACGTTGCCAAACAAAATACCGCCCTCACTCACTCACTCAGTGGACAAGTATATACGGTGAATGTACTGACTGTCCTAACAAGTCACTGACATTAATAACAGCTGTCCATCTAAATTTTCTGCTGGCCACGGGCCAAGGGACAATCAGTTATGTCGACTCTGCTCTGCTATCAGTTTGCGTAAAACCTTTTCCATCAACAACCAATGAGGTCATATGTGTCTGCGCATGTACATAGCTGACCTTCACCTCGTACCGACTTCACGTCAAACAAATAAATATAAGACGTCAACGCCGGAGAATAACCAGTTTCGATTTTCGACAAAACCGAGTTATCAATCTAAAGCAATGTGCATTTTAGTTCCGAGGGGCAAGTGAGCAGGTGGCGGCACATTGGCTTAAGTCCTTACAATTCGCTTTACAGAGTTACGTCCCTTGGACGTGCCAGGATATCATAGTCATGAGTTCGAATTCTAAAAAATCGCTCCGAATGTGATTCTTAATGTTTCAGTGGAATATCCATGCTAATGATATTTCACCGATGTAGTCGTTGACTGTTCCTTCACAGCGGGTTTCCTCCGACGTAAAGCTGACATGCCGTGATATATCAGATACCGTTCAAAGCGGCGATAAAACCAACTCACTCACTCACTTATTCAGTCAGGATGCAGTCTCGTGAGAGTTTACATTACAAGCTCGGCGGGGCGGTGAGGTAGCCTAATGGTTAAAGCGTTTGCTCGTCACAACTAAAGCCCTGGTTCGATTCCCACATGGCTACAATGTGTGAAGCCATTTCCGGTCTCCCCCGCCGTGGTAGTGCTGGAATATTCCTAAAAGCGGCGTAAAACAAAACTCACTCACTGACTACAAGTTCGGCCAAACAATTTACATAGAAAATGAAATGTTTAAAAAAAAGCGACAACAATCCGTATTAAATTTTAAATCAGAAAACATGTCAGTGCGTATGAGCGAACGTGTCTGCGTATGTGTGAACGTGTCTGCGTACGTGCGAACGTGTCTGCGTACGTGCGAACGTGTCTGCGTACGTACGAACGTGTGTCTATGTGTTGTTAACGCAAGTATAAGCTACATAGACACTTTGTTATGTCATCAGTGTTGAAGCCGGCCCGAGAACTGTTTTTGTCATTATCACAAATGTGGCACACGTTAAGAGGGAAATGCATCGTTGTACTATAAGAAGACTAACAACTTGAAAATCTGCCAACATTTAAACTGGGACACGGGTTCATAAAAAGACCGGCATATGGATCTACTGGTGGTATTTGAATCATGTTACCTTCACTAGGGAGGCTATTATTTTATAACTCGTTATCGCTAGTTACACACATAAAGCATGCCAATTTCTGAGGTTAAGCGGGAAATTAAGACAACGTTCTAGCTAAGTCTAATTCTGCCCATATGTGCGACCTCCTGGCCCGCGGTGCGAGTTATATGCACGTAGTACCTGCCACATTGACGACGGTACAGCACAGATGTGCGAGGAGCTGTTTTTGTAGTTCCTGCAAAACTATATTCTGCATGATTTGTTTGTTTGTTTGTTGTTAAATGCCGCATTCAGCAATATTCCAGCTATATGACGGCGGTCTGTAAATAATCGAGACAACCTAGTGAATTGATAACATGACCATCGTTCCACGCAACTGGGATACGATGATATGCATCAGCCATGTCAGCGAGCCTGACCACCCGATCCCGTTAGTCGACTCTTACGACAAGTAAGGGTTGCTGAAGACCTATTCTCTACCCGGATATTCACGGGGACAAATGATATGACTCTGTTCCTGTGACCATATCGGGCAGAGAAGCAGAGGAAGCTATAGATAGAGCATTTCAAAAGTCAAAAGATTTACAAAACATGGGAGTCGATAATGAGTTTCAATTTTTTGTATTTGAATTAGAGTATGTCACTTTGTAAACAAAATTAATATGTTTTTCATAAAATGAAAAAATGGATATGATTTCAATTTTTTATGGATATATATTTAGCGGCGCAGAACATTTTCCCAGGGGTTTTTATAATTTTAAGATGTAGAGGATCCCCCCAAAAAATCTTCACACAACGAAAGGACATTTTCCTGTGTGGGAGAATGTCTGTCCTCTGTTTCATCTTACACCATGCCTCAAACAGGTGTTCGTGCAAGACCGTCAAAACACGTGTGCACAACAAATGACTATCGACACATCTTTGTTTGAAACCCAACGACATCCGGGTTCGTTTGACGGGAACAACAACTGGAGATGGGGAAGATGGATATTGTACGCGATGTGCAAGTCAATATGGACATTCCCACAAACACAACACTCCCCGTCAAATGAGCATGCAGCAGCAGCTATCTACCGGGGGTAAAGGGGATTGGGACGACGGCGTGAACGTCTCCCAGGGTGAAGGAGGACGATGCGGTTGTGACACTATGCAGGGATGGGAGGCAGGCAGTCTATCAACTTGTTTACCGACTAAAATATTCGATACTAAAATTGCTCCAATTATGTTATATGGGGCTGAAATATGGAGTTTTGAAAACTGCAAAGAAATAGAAAGTATCCATGTACTTGCTTGTAAACGTCTGCTAGGTGTTAAAACGTCTACTCCCAATCATGTTGTGCGAGGAGAGTGTGGAAGATACCCACTGTACATTTCTGCGTATAAACGCTGTATAAAATATTGGTGTAAACTTATGTCCCTACCAAATTCACGATATCCTAAGAAAAGTTATGATATGTTATTTCAGCTAGCCACACATGGTAAAACTAATTGGGCTACAAAAGTCAAAACTCTTTTATACAGCCTTGGATTTGGATATATATGGGAGAACCAATATGTTATTTGCCCCGAATCATTTATTTCCGAATGTGAAGATCGGTTAAAATTTGCTTACGAACAGGACTGGCATTGGTCTTTAGCAAATAGTTCTAAAATGTTCCATTATACACTTTTCAAAAATTCATTCAGTCTAGAGTTGTATTTGTCTGCTATCACTATCAACAAATTTCGTGTTGCACTAGCCCAGTTTCGCTGTAGCTCCCATACTCTCCATATTGAGACTGGTAGATACGTTAATACTCCACGAGAGCAGAGATTGTGCAATAGTTGCAACCAAAGATATGTCGAGAATGAATATCATTTTTTATTAATTTGTAACGCTTATGATGAACTTCGTCTTCAGTATTTACCACAGAAGTATTTTGTACATCCTACTCTTGCTAAATTCAATATGCTTATGGCGGTAAACAATGAAACTGTAATTAGAAATGTTGCAACTTTTATATACCATGCTATGAATGTTAGACTCCAAACACTAAGCCTATAAATGTTTATGATGGACCAAATATTGTACCATGGGCCGCTGGCCTACACATGTACATGAATAAAGAATTAGAATTACCGACTCACAACGATGTGTGAACATATACACGTTATGCCATAAGCTAGATAGTATCTATTCTCAGAACAGGGGCCAGGGATACGGAAGGGAAGAGAATGTTATTGAGTCTCGCTTCATTACTTCCAGGCTTGAGTAGATTGTGTTGTGATGCACTCATGGTATAAACTAGGAAAATACCGCACTGGGTGACAGTTTGCACATGGGCATTATCATAATATAACTGCGATCATTTTTTTTAAAGATATGGACAGAGCTCCAGATAAGCTTTTGGTGTTGTGGGTATTTTACCCATGCATTTTAAAATCATTGGGTATCAGTAATTCTATCTGCGTAATTCAAATTTCTGTTACCCACTAGTTTTTACACATGTGGGTATTTAAGTTAAATATTTAAAAACACTATTCATCTAGTCCCTGCAAACTGGTGTCGTGTGGGTTCGAGAGCTTTATAGGACTCAAAAATACCACGATACTTCCACAAGAAAGTGTGATGGCAAATGATCATGATGTAACTGTCATCGTGGAGTTGCTGATTTGCTAATCGAAATACGCAGGGTTACTTCACAATATTTTGATGATACGCCAGTTTTATTTTTGTAGGGTATCTGTAATGTTCGTTGCGTATTTGATACGCTTGGATTATATTTTACTGTGTATTTCTGCATTTCTGATGCGTATTTCACGCAGATACGCAGCTTATCTGGAGCTCTGTATGGATATATCTGTGTTGACGACAAACTGTAAAATTCTGACAGATTCGCTGCTTATCGGCGCTGTCATAGTTATCGCATTTGTAACATTCATATGGTTCGCTAAGTTGGACTATCAAAGTGTCCGGTCGGATATAAACCAATAAGTTGTACATTGCTTGCCATGTAAAGTTTGTTTGTTGCTTGCAGCCTCACTCCAGATTCTAGCTACATGGACCACATAAGCCAGTGATTGGTATGACGAGACAATGACGACATGACGTACCTCTGCGTTGCGAAGCGAGTAGCTGAACACCTTCTCCAGGATATTTGTAAAATTAGCCAGTTGGTCAGCGCCAATCTGTGAGGGGTTAGAGGTCAGCGACTTCAACTCGTTCAGCGTCTCTCCAGCCGCCAGCAATCCATACTAGACAACAAAAAACAAACAAACAATATGACCGCTGGTCAAGTCTGGGCATTACGAACATGTTAAGTGCATCAGGCAACTTTCTTTATGTTAAACTACAACTTTTGCTGGTGCTGCTACTACTAAGTCTGCTACTACCACTACGACTACGATGACAACGACTTCTACGACTACCACCACTTCTACTACTACCACTGCTACTACTACTTCTGGGACGGTCGGTTAGTCAAGTGGTTTAAGCGTTCGCTCGTCACGCCGAAGACCCGGGTTCGATTACCGACATGGGTACAATGTGTGAAGCCCATTTCTGGTGTCCCCCCGCCGTGATGTTGCTGGAATATTGCTAAAAGCGGCGTAAAACCAAGCTCACTCACTCACTCACTACTACTACTTCTACCACCCCCATCACTACTACTACTACCTACCACTACTGCTTCCACTACCAGTATTGCTAATAGTACAACGAATTCCGCTATTTTTATATATGACAGAAAGTCGTATTCTAGAATGGGTGATTTATAATGTATTTGTGACATGAGTATTTATTGAATCCATTTACAAGTATTAACACTGTAACACGCACGCATACCTATCATTTACGTGATAAACAAGTGTCGCCAAGAACTATGGTCAATAAAATAATAAACTCCACTCGAAATACCTGGTCAAGGATAAAGAGATCCGACTCACAGTTCTCGGGTGAAACAGACTTGCCACAATGCCCCAAGGGCCTTAAAACGCATTTTTAAAGTTGTAGTAACAAATGAAGATTTAAAAAAGGGTCATTGAACGCTTACTCAAGAGTTGTTTAAGCAGGGTTACATTTGTTTATTTGTTGTTTTAGGCCGCACGCAGCAATATTCAAGCTATATGACACGGTCTGTAAATAATCGAGACTGGATCAGACAATCCAGTGATTGACATCATGAGCATCAGTCCACGCAATTGGGATACAATGACATGCATCAACCAAGTCAGCGAGCCTGACCACCCGATCCCGTTAGTCGCCGACAAGCATAGTCGCCTTTTACGGCAAGCATGGGTTGCTGAAGACCTATTCTAACCCGGATCTTCACGGGTCTATTAACAAAGTAAATATTAAAAATAAGTTTGTTCGCGTAACTGATACATAATAAATCACAGTTACAAAATAAGTCAACAGCAACAGTCGTTATTGCCTCCACTTCAACATGTAAGTATTGTAAGGTGTACTGACCTCTGGGCACTGGGATGAGTCGACCTCAGACCATCTGGCCGTGTTGCTGGCCAGAGCGAGGCACTGCCTGGTGGCCATTTTGGGCTGGTTGATGCTGTCTTGGGCGTCACACAGGACGTGTATCTTCAGACCTCTCTTGGTCAGCGGCCAGTTGTAGCGTCCGGTCCGGTCAAACGTCATCTCCTCGGGGCAGACTGCGGGGAGGGAACACAAAGTAAGTGGTTGTGTGAATGGGTGTGTGGGTTAGTTTGATTGTTTGTTTGTTGTTTAACGCCGCACTCAGGAATGACGGCGGTCTGTAAATAATCATGTGTTGGCCGGACAATCTAATGATTGATATTATGAGCATCGATGTACGCAATTGGGATACGATAAGATGTATCAACCAAGTCAGCGAGCCTGACAACCGAGCCCGTAAGTCGCCTCTTAAGACAAGCATGGGTTGCTGAAGACCTATTCTAACCCGGAATTTGGTGTGTGGTTGGTGAGTGAGTAGTTTGATCAGTGGGTCTACCATTTCAGTGAAATCGACAAGCAATAATATGGGGCTGATAGATCAAGGGTTACCATGGAAGCAAATAAGGGATTCGAACCAACGACCAGCGGATCCTGGTACGGCTGAAGTGCGGATCTCTGCATCAATGCCCCAGAGTGAGACAGTCAATTTATACGAGTGTCTGAGTGAGTTGAGTGAGTTGGGTTTAACGCCGCTTTTAACAGTATTCCAGTTATATCACAGCGTGTCAGCTTAATGTGGGAGGAAAGCCCGAAGTGATGCAGGTCTCAGACGTTTACCACTTCGGTGAAACCCACGAGCACGGGTATGGTGCTGACAAACCTAGAATTATAATCAGGGCGAACCGGGATTCGAACCCACAATCATAGGTTTCAGGCATGCCCAAGCGACGCAACTCTGTACAGCGAATCGTGGCGCCTTAGACGACTGGGCCACCCGTGCCCCCTACGAGTGTCTGAAAGAACCCTATCATTCAAGGTATCATGTTGAAATAAATACTCATTTAATATTTAAAAGAAGCGAAACATTGTTTTAAGATTGAAGGAGACAGACATTTAGATATGACAAGACAGTCAAACATATATCAGAGGCAAACCAACAAATAAGTCCCGCACAAATCAGGCCTGGAAACTTTAAAATGACCAGACGGAAGTTCAAAATAAACCTGATCGTGATTTAATAACTAAGTTTACAGGGGACGGATGATCTGAGTCTTGGAAGATCACCCAACACAGCTCTTCCGTCGACCGGGGCGTTTTTGTAACAAATGCACTTCACTTCGAACAAGCATTGATACAACCATCCTCGGACCGTCTCGTCATGTCTCGTCACGTCTTGCTCGAAGCGGAGACTCAAATATCCTCCGTCTTAAAACCATTCTTTTGAAGCCCTACTGTCAATAATCTCCACTACCTTTTTGATGTACCACTGTCAGCATGCATCAGTGGGTGGATTCGGCGCATTACAAATTCCTATCATCATTTTTTTTATTATTATTATTAGTAGTAGTATTATGTACAGATTAAAATAAAAAATGTAGCAAAGAGGGTTGCCCCCTCTACACGCAGCCCAGACAGCGAATGGCACTTCTCCCAGGAAGCGCTGCCTAGTCAAACCCACCCAGAACCTTTTGGAGGATGTGAAGACTCCCCAACACTGCAGCCTTCTGCATTACCAATATTGTCAGAAGGGCGGTATTCCTGGCAGCAAACCCGAGTACCCTCCCACAGTCAGTCAACGGATTGGGAGTTACCAAACCTATAGCACCGAGAACAATGAGGAGACGGACAACTTGGTACTTGGGATGCAAGCGTAACATTTCAAAAGAGGGGGCCGCATATTTGCCACGTTTCTTCTGAATCTTGTTAATCACATTAGTGTCAAAAGGGACAGAAAATTCAATGATGTAAATGATTTCTTTGGATTTATCGAAAAGGACAAGATCAGGTTTGTTGGTCTGGATAGTTCTTAGGCTGTATACGGACCTATTCCAAAGAGTTTTGTGTTTATCATTTTCCATGGCGCCCTCTTCATATTCTGGGTGGTACCATGACCACAAGTCAAAACCACAAACTTGGCGAAGACGGTACTAAAAGGATTGAGCCACTTCATCATGTCGCTTGAGATACTGTGTTTGTACCAAAGCTGGGCATCCACTGACAATGTGTTGGACAGTCTCATTAAAATTCATTGCATCATATTCTTCTGGGGAGGTCGGGTAGCCTAGTGGTTAAAGCGTTCGCTCGTCACGCCGAAGACCCGGGTTCGATTCCCGACATGGGTACAGTGTGTGAAGCCCATTTCTGGTGTCCCCCTCCGTGACATTGCTGGAATATTGCTAAAAGCGGCGTAAAACCATACTCACTCACTCATATTCTTCTTCTTATTATTATTATCTCACGCCGAGGACCTGGGTTCGATTTTAGACATGGGTACAATGTGTGAAGCCCATTTATGGTCTCCCGCCGTGATGTTGCTGGAATATTGCTAAAAAGGACGTCACCCATACTCACTCACTCACTCACTCTTTCACTATTATTATTATCATCATCATCGTCTTCAGGCATACACTTTACTTTGTAAACATCTCAATTAATTATCCAATGTTCGTCCTGAGTTTGAAAAGTGTAACGCAACTTTTTCAGTTTCCCCGTACTTTGTTCTATTTTGATCTAAATGTTTCTTATAAGAAGGTATTTACTCCAAACGTTTCAGTGTTTTCCCTTAAGTTCAAAGCAAATGGATTCGGAATATTTCCCAGCAATTGATTGATTATCAAAGCGTTGCATGAAATACCGTGCTCCGCGTACACGTTCGAGTAAACCTTGAAAGACAGTCACTTGTGTGTTTATATTCTTCTGTGTGTAACACTCTATTGATCTACTTTGTTGATATTACTATGACAAAGCGTCTCCGCTTCAGGACGATGATAAAACAGCACAATGGCCTTCCATTCGTTACATATTTCACCCTGAAGATGTAAAATCTATGTCATGTATTGATCGTGTCCACGTAGCAAATGACGTTTTTGTTTCCAACCAATAATTAATACGTGTATGCAAAGATGTTAACACTAAAATATACTGATTAGACTTTTGTTTGGAATTTTCATAGGGTTTCATTAACCGGGTATATAAATAGTGTTTTAAACTGCCGGGCAAAAGGAAGTTTGCACCCATGTTTGATGGTGTGAGTGAGTGAGTGATTTAACGCCGCTTTTAGCAACATTCCAGCAATATCACGGCGGTAGACACCAGAAATGGGCTTCACACATTGTACCAATGTTGGGAATCGAACCCGGGTCTTCGGTGTGACGAGCGAACACTTTAACCACTAGGCTATCCGACCGCCCCTGGTTGATGGTGGATAAGCTTGAAACAAACAAGAAATGTTTATTCGATGGTGATGTATTTGATATGGGTATCATAGTTGTGTTTTGGATTTAAGTTTGCAGTGTTTCGGCGACTGTTTTCGGCGCAGTAACGTCTTGATGACGTTTTTAATTTTTAGTCAAGTACAATTTCAAGTGTATACTTCCTTTCAGCTGGCTGTTTCCCATGAGAGGGTAGAATAAAAGATTTTCACTCTAAAAAGTTGATGAATTCCCTTTGAGCGTGTAAGTGAACAGGCTTTTACTTCAAGTGGGTAGGTGAAAAGGTTTTCACTTGATTTTTTCAGCTGACCTGGGTTAATTGTTGAGCGGGCATCTGAATAGAACTTTACTACTTTCTGGTATGTGAATAGCGCTTTACTCTCAGCGCATCTGAATAGAGCTTTACTACGATGGCATCTGTGAATAGCGCTTTACTCTCAGCGCATCTGAATAGAGCTTTACTACGATGGCATCTGTGAATAGCGCTTTACTCTCATCGCATCTAAATAGAGCTATACTACGATGGCATATGTAAATAGCGCTTTACTCACAGCGCATCTGAATAGAGCTTTACTACGATGGCATATGTGAATAGCGCTTTACTCTCAGCGCATCTGAAAAGAGCTTTACTACGATGGGAAATGTGAATAGCGCTTTACTCTCAGCGCATCTGAATAGAGCTTTACTACGATGGCATATGTAAATAGCGCTTTACTCTCAGCGCATCTGACCGAGCCAAGGTCTTCCGCGTAACTGAGCGAACGCTTTAACCACTGGGCTACCCTATCGCCCACTTAAACTGTCGCGAGGAACAAGGCCAGGTATGGGCGTTACACTGAGGTAACAGGAAGGCCGATCTCCCAAGGCTCTGCAGTCAATCATATTAAAGGTGTACATTTCACATTATTTGACGAGACTAGTACTCCCAGCTGTTGACATATGCCGAACTCTGGTGGCATTTCCCGACATATGCCGAACTGTGGTGGCATTTCACGCACATGCCGAACCTAGCCATCTTGCTACTCCGCCATCATGTTAACCTCATCTTACCCGCATGGCTACCGTGAATCAGGGTGAACTTCATCACTTCACTACTACAAACCCTCACTATAACGCAACCTGATTGGCTTAAGCGCACATGCTGTCGTACGGAAAGGAGTGAAGATGGCTTGATGAACTTTACATTAGGTCCAGTGTATAGCCAATAGCTTTTCTGCTTTGAGTACTGATACACGAGAGCACCCCTTTATAACGCCAAACATACACGTATGCAGTTACGACAGTGTTTATTATTTACACCGTGAGACCGTAAAACAGGTCTATATGTTTCACTGATGTCCTTTGATGTCTATCGTTGATATTTCCAGAATGACGGCAACACATTTTCCGTGATAATGGCTGAAGTACGGAAGGCCGGTGGTGCGTATATTTTCTAATAAAATCAGCCCGTTCTACCATGACCTCACGCAAACATAGTGATACCCCGAAACTAACATTAGTCTCAGAAATACAGTTATCCTTTTTAAGAATATATCTACAAATAATAATAAAATCCAACTGGAGTTGAGAACATTTGTTTGTTTGTTTGTTGTTTAACGCCGCACTCAGCAATACTCCAGCAATATGACGGCGGTCTGGAAATAATCGAGTCTGGACCAGGCAATCCAGTGATTGATATCATGAGCATCGGTCCATAATATTGGGATACGATGACATACATTAACCAAGCCAGCGAGCCGGACCACCCGATCCCGTCAGTCGCCTCTTATGACAAGCATAGTACCAATGCTTAGAGTTGAGGCAATCTTAACTTGCCAAATCATTCTAGACTTGAGTTGGATATATATTTTAATTTATTCTATTTTTTTAATTTATGCACATAGTAACGGCGAAGCGTTGTTTTGATTAGACAAAAAGGAATGTTTTTGAAAAAGGTTCAACACTCCAAGCGGTAACCTAATTCCATTTTTTATCCTAAATGATACTTGTTCCTTGCTATAAATCATTAGGTGGCGCTTTCTTGAAACTTTGTAGACAATTTGTATACATAATTAGGCAAGCATCTCTGCCGTCACGAGTTAAATTTGGAACTGAGAATAAAACCGTTGTTATGAAAGTTACGATTAAAACAAGCTGCACTGTGCATAAAAGAGCTATTTTTTGCTATTTCCGTGCAGATGACGAAAAGTCACTTCGCATTTATTTTACCTTCTATGCAGTCGTCGTTGTCGGCGCCATTCCTGCAGACGCAGGTGTAACCGTCATCCACCTCTACGCACCGTCTGTCATCAGAGCACGGTTTGCCCGTGCAGGCCGTCACGCGCGTCTCACACACGGAACCTGTCAAAGAATGACATGTGTTACGTATTTAGTGGAAACTCGATCATCCAGACATGTAGTCCGGATTAATGAAGTTCAGAAACGACATGCCATAAAACAATATATTCTTGGTACGAACTTCACTCATCCAGAATGGTTTATGTTTCGATCTGGAAAATGAAATAATCAAATAAATAACAACAACATGTTCAAGTTCCACGTCAAGAATAACGCTTATTTCGCATGAAATTTGTTCTGAAGTGATCACATGGCAGACAGCTGTTTTGTTGGGGTTTTTTCAAAGCCGCACTCAGCAATATTCCAGCTGCTTTACGGCGGTCTGTAAATCATCCATTCTGGACCAGACAATCCAGTGATGGACATCGATATACACAATTGGGATGCGATGACAAGCATAAACCGAGTCAGCGAGCCTGACCACACGATCCCATTAATCACCTCTTATTACGACAAGCACGGGCGTCAGGAAGTTTTAACCCATGGGGTTCCAATTATCAATCTTAGGAGAAAGGTGCATGCAAACTACATGCATATTTTTAGTATATAATTATAATTGAGTGAATTTTATCGATTGGCCCGAATAATAACGTGCTATACATAGCAAATACAGTTTAAAAAACCCATCACAAAATAAAATACCAAACGTTGACATAGTAACATTTTGATGGTAACAGCTAATCGCCATAAGTTGTATGCGTGCTTTCAAATAACCTTCCGACTTTCATTATGCACGGAGCAATGTTAGTTAACGCGGCTGGTAAATGTTTGAGAAATGTCAGCCCTCATTATATCCTGCAAGAATAATTTCTTCCACAATCACCTCCTAAAATACAAATGACACGCACTGATTCCATGTGCCCCTACCATCACACCGTCACGTAGGCCCTTAGGCTGTGGGAGACCCGTGAAGATCCGGGGTAGAATAGGTCTTCAGCAACCCATGCTTGCCGTAAAAGGCGACTATGCTTGTCGTAAAAGGCGACTAACGGGATCGGGTGGTCAGGCTCGCTGACTTGGTTGATGCACGGTCACCGATCCCAATTGCGTGGATCAATGCTCTTGATATCAATCACTGGATTGTCTGGTCCAGACTCGATTATTTACAGACCGCCGTCATATAGCTGGAATATTGCTGCGTGCGGCGTTAAACAACAAACCAACAAACCAACCAACCAACCTTAGGCTATGGGAATGTCGTAAGAGTAAAATATCGCGTGGCCAGGCTCAGTGACTTGGCTGATTGCGCGTTATCGTACGTCGACGGCTTGGGACGATGCTCATGATAACAACCACTGGTTTGACTGGTCCAGATTCTGCCTTTTACCAGTTGTCGTGATGTAGCTGCAACGCTGTGGCTGCGGCGTTAAATAACATTCATTCACACATCCTCGCGTTGATAGTAACACTTCGAAACGTCATAACGTCATTAGGTGACTGCATTTGAGTCAACGCAAGCCTTGCATTATACACTCTCCACTGACTGGAGTGAGTCAGGTGAGCTTTTAACGCTACATGAATCTATATCGAAACTGAGGGCGACCTATGCTTGTCGTAAGAGGCGACTAACGGGATCGGGTGGTCAGGCTCGTTGACTTGGTTGATGCATGTCATCTTATTCTAATTGCGAGGATCGATGCTCATGATATCAATCACTGGATTGTCCTGGTCCAGACTCGATTATTTCCAGACCGCCGTCTATAGATGGACTGTTTGAGTTATTGAGTCAGTCGGTTGCTTTTTAATCGCTAAAGGATGGTACGTGCATTTAACACTAATTTTATGCTCAACTTAAACTAATGTCTTTTTCATGAGCGAACAAGTGTTTTCGAGATTAGCCATTTGAACGAGATGTTATGTAACATGTATGCGAGAGGACGGGTGCGCCGGAGAAACAGTCCCTAGCGCAAGAGCAGTAGGTGCAATGACGTCATTGCCACCGAATGTATTTCTTATCGCAGAAACAATATACACGGGGCATATCCTGTATGATAACATATACCGTTATCTCCCGGGCTATAGGGAGTCTGGAATGTACGAAGACATGAACTCTATACGTCAAGACATTCAGGTCACTCAGTTGATGAAGCAGATCTGTTGGATGCGGGTGGGGTCTTGATAGAGTATTTGTCATCTTGTGTCGGTATTTGCTGTTTCATTAGTATAGTGCCGACAACAGGTGCCTAAATGGGCATCGGTTTCATGATCAACACATTCACAGACAAGGGACCAGTTTCACGAAGCGATCTTAGCGTCCAGACTATCGTATGTCCTTACTTTAACATACGTGTACGCGCAGAACAATCGTAATACTAAGATTGGTTTGTGGAATGGTGACGGTATGCTTCATCAAATGTGTATATATCATGCTAAAAAATTAGGCCTCACATTTTTGTGCTTGTTTTCGGACCCGCCTATCTTAAAATCGAAAATGCCGAAATAAATACAAAATAAAAACAAAGTTGTTGTTTTTATATACCGCGGACAGTAAAGATCGCCTTGACAATACAAATATTCCAAGGAATTTTAAGTGACAAAAAATGGATTCTTTACCAACGATAAGACATCATTATATTCACCTTACCGATCCAAATGTAATTTTGCGTGACGAGTGAACGCTTTAACCACTAGGCTACCCGATCGCCCCAGTTGTTAAAAGAAGATACCTATTGTAATCCTGCGAAAACAAGGACTGGTCGGCTCGGAGTCAGTGTACTGTGTGGGAGTGGGGTATCCATGTTAAACTGTGGCATGGTATCTCACTGGGTTGGCACTTCCAAAACGGCAAGTCCGAACAAGTACAAGTAGCCACATGCACGACGCTATATAAGTGCGACAATTTTGAACGCCATTCCACCTAACACCTCACCATATCTCTACACAGCTCTGATCATTCGTATGAGGTGAGATGAAATTGGGTTTAACGTCGCGTCCAAGATTACTGCACTTATATAGCGACGTGCATGCACGTGTGTGTGTGTGTGTGTGTGTGTGTGTCTGCTTGTACTAGTCCAGACTTATGCTGATTTATAGTGCTAGCTCACCGATATACCATGCCGCAGTTTAACATGAATACCCCGCTCAGACACAGTATACTGACTCCGAGCCGGCCAGTCCTTGTTTTAGCCCCTTAATGCCGAGCGCCAGTCAGGGTAACAACAAGTACCGTCTTTTGGAATGACGCACTCGGGGATCGAACCCCGGACCTTCCGCTCTCCGGGCGGACGCTCTACCACTAGACCACGGAGGCGGTCCATTGGTATGAACATTCTCAACCTGATCATATATTTTTTGTTTGTAAACTTACCCTGAGGACATGGCATAGGGTACCGAAATTTTAAGCGCTTCACAGATGGACTGATATGATTACTGTCGTTAGTTAGCTGGATCAAGCACACATACAAGGATCCAAGTTCGAATCCCAATTTTGTCTTTATTATGATCCATTTGCAATCGGGGTTCGTGGGTTTACAAGACAATAGACAACTTTTTATCTTCCTCTCAACTTAACCGGACACCCCGACATTGCACTACTGTTCAAAGGCCTTTGTGACCAACTCGTATTATTCCGGGACAAGCCGAATGGTCATCTTGCAGGTTACGGAAAGGGGCGAGTGGTGACGAATGTGTACAAAGGGTGCCATAAACCCAACTCACTCGTTGCGTTAATCACGTACGATCTGACTTACCTGTGTAATCCGACGAACACGCGCATGCGCCTGTGCTGCCAACACATGTGCCGCCATGTTGACAAGGTGTGATGTCACAGTCCGGAATGACGGTGTCGCAGTTGACGCCGGTGTACTTGTCCGGGCATTGACACACCTTCGCAAAGGAAGTAGGATCTACTGTACACGTTCCAAAGTTGGCACACGGGGTCTGACACGGGTCTGTCAGGTTACAGTGGGTACCCACGAAGCCTGATTGACATAAACACATGAATTCCGTATCGGATGTGTTCCGACAAGTTCCTCCATTTTCACACGTGCGTTCCTTACAAGGGTTCTCAATGTCGCAGTCTTTACCGTAGTATCCGTCGTTGCAGTCGCAGGTGTATTCATGAGACGTTGTGTTCGTGCAATCACCATGACGACAAGGGGAAGACACGCATGGATTGTAGAACGAACACGTGTCTCCATAGAAACCGTTCAGGCATTTACAGGTAAAGTTTCCTTTCTTTAGAAAAGCGAAATTTTCACAATATCCCCCATTTTCACAATTCACAAGTCGGCAGCTGTTGAGATATTGACACTGCAGGCCGTACCACTCGTCAATACAGTCACATTCATAATCACTATTAGATATGTTTCTGCACGTGCCTCTCAACCCGCACGGGTTCTCGCCATCGCACGTGTTATAAAACTCGCACGTGTCACCATAGTAACCAAGGTCACACATGCATTTCGGACCTTCAGTCGTTTCTTTGCAGGTGCCTGACGATCCGCAGTCGGTGAGGTGGCAGGTATCGTAGTGCTGACATTCACCCCCGTAAAAGCCAGGATGGCACTCGCAGTTGTACGTACCGGTGTCCGTTAGTACACATGTACCTCTGTTCTGACATGGCGACTGGGAGCACGGGTCGAACTCCAAACACTGTAATCCCGTGAATCGGACCGTGCAGTGACATCGGTATGTGCCGTCACCCAAGTGTTCACACGTTCCGTTATTTTTGCAAGGTTGTTGTGAAATACAAAGATTCATCTCGCTGCACGTGTGTCCATAGTAACCGGTGGTGCACGCGCAGGAAAACTCGTCATCGGAGACTCTTGAACACGTCCCCCCGTTTGTACAGGGTGTTGGATTGCAGGGGTCTTTCAGTTCACAGTTTTTACCCGTGAAGTGGTCTGGGCATGCGCAGGTGTATCTTCCGGTTGTATCCATGGAACAAACGCCATTGTTCTGACAAGGAAGAATACTACATGCATTGAAGTACTGGCACCTGATCCCATAGAAGTCGTCGACACAAGAACAAGAAAACTGTTGATGACCGAGATAGTTGCAGCTTCCTTTGTTTTGGCACGGGGCTTGAGCGCACATGTCCTGGAGAGTGCAGTTCTTGCCCCGCCAGCCTTCCGTACAATCACACTGGTAGTTCAACGCTCCATCGTCCTGACGTCGGCAGGCCGCGTTATTTTGACATGGTTTGAGGTACTTACAGGCATCGAAGTCGTTATGGAGACACTGAGGAGTAAATCCTGCAATAAACAAACGTGTGATAAATTCTCGCTCTGTAATACCCTGCCTGTGGAGGTTTTCTTCTTTGAGAAGCGTTATTGTTTGTTTATATTGTTTAACGTCGCTTTCAGCAATATTCCAGCTATATGATGGTGGTCTGGACCAGACACTCCAGTATTTGACATCACGAGCGTCGCTCTAAGCAAGTGGGATACGATAACATGCACCAAGTCACCAAGACGGACCACCGGATCCCGTTAGTCGCCTCTTACGACAAGCATGGGTTGCTGAAGAATCTCGCTGTGTTATACCCTGCTTAAGAATATTTTCTTCTTTCAGAAACTTACAATGAATAGACAAAACAAACAACAATTTTACGCGTTGGTGGTGTTTATACTACTTAAAAATGTGCTGCTTTTCACAAACATCCAAATTCAATACTAAAGTATGCAAATCATAGTAAACAGCGCTGTATTGACAACGGTATATATTATAGATAACAGTAGCATGCAATACATTCTTCATTAATAATTTGGATTGTATACTGTAACCCGAGACGGGAGGTAATGACACCTTACACTGTGTTAAACTTAATCCAATGTTAATAACATAGTTACTGTTATTATTTCCGTGCATTCAGGCAACTTCCCGGAAAGATTGTGTTCATCTTGATGACACGACCTACTTCTAAGTATTTACCTGTAACACACACACACACACACACACACACACACACACACACACACACACACACACACATATATATTGTAGTGAAGTACTTACGTTTTACAATAATTTCATATCGTAGTAAAGTATTTACGTTTTACAGTTATTTCACGTCGTTGTAAAGTATTTACGTTTGTCAGTAATTTCATGTCGTTGTTAAGTGTTTACCTTTTACAGTTATTTCACGTCGTTGTAAAGTATATCATGTTGTTGTTAAGTATTAACCTTCAACACTAATGTATAATTTCAATGTTTGTAAACTTTTAGAAAATCCTATTTGGTTAAAATCATATAACAGTAAAGCAAGTTGTCAATCAAACATTCTTCATAATTTTGTAGTAAAATATTTATCAATATCAGTAGTGTATATCAGAAGGCAACGAAGTGTTTACCTATTCCAGTGTTGTTGATCATGACCTTCATTTTATTGATGCCGCCGGAACCGGAAGTAGTTTTGACAGAGACCCGGAAGAAGTAGAGTTTGCCGATCTGCGTGTCTGAGACTACGTCACACATTTCCGCATCTGCATCCGACGCCGGGACCACGTAAGTCGTATCCGTCGAACCAGTCACTTCCACCTCAAATCCCGTAACTTCCGGTCGACCGGCCATGGGGTTCTTCCAGCATAGCGTGATGTCGGAAACTTCCGTCGCAAAGCAGAACACCGTGGGATCTGGAAATAGTCATTTAAATTTATCCATGTCCTCTTGATTCAATCTGGCTGGTACAACCTATATAGTCTGTTGACACAGAACTGAGTATGACGAACCTCTTAACTTATGCAAATGATCAATCACCGGTATATATAATTTATCAAGTAACAGTATAGATCCTTGGCAATACTATATGAGAGATGCTTTTTTGCGCTTCTCAAACCTGTCAATGTGACAAATGCTAACTGGTACAACATTTACAGTAAGGTTAAAGAGGGGGTCAAGTCCAAGGTTCCAGATAGCCTTCTTGTGTTTTTGGATTTCGAATTCGAAATAAGCAGGCAAACATATATGTATTTATATAGTGAAACTGTCAGGATTGGACCTACTGTAATTACCAAAGGCAGTGTTCAGCGTTCTACATATCTTCTTTTACTTTATTCCACTATAATAAAACTCAATTCTGCCTTTGATCATCTATTTGATAATTAAGAAGAACAAAAGCTGCACATGGCCGTATTCTGCACTATAATAATTCTGAAAGAGGACTCTGTTCTACTGTCTGGTGACTATTGTTATGTATTAGTAATACTACTTTAAGAAGAGACTGTAGTACATGGTAGTATTAATATTGTCGGTGGCAGCGAATGATTGAAGTGTTATTAAGATACCAAGGGCTGTCAGCAGGAAGAAGTGATTACAGTTATCTGTCCCTGGTTGTAAACAAACATGGAAGGCTTTATCGTTCAAGGAGTTTCGGGAATGAATGAATGAATGGATATTGTTTTACGCCGCATCAACAATTTTTCAGCTAATCACGGCGGAGAAGTTTAGGGATCGGACAGTTCTTAGAAGGCTGGCTGTACATATTTAAGAGCGATTTCCTAAGTGCGGATTAGATATCTAGCTTTAAACACCAACTACCCACCAGTTTCCAAAACTAATCCGGGTTCAAGAACAACCAGACGCTCAAATATCATTGGGCATTGTAAATAAACTCAAACATTGTCACTTTGAAATTAGGGTATTGTACGATAGATCAGGTCCCCGTTCCATAAAGAGATCGTAGAGCTAAGACGATCGTAACTCCCATACTTTAACATAGACTTAGCGCTAAGTTCGCTTTCTTGAACCGGGCCCTGGCCAATGAGTCTGCTCTGAAGTACTCACGTTTGACGTTATTGAGCGCAATATGAATCATAGATGTCCCGGTCAGGCGAGGTGACCCCTCGTCGGCTGCAAGAACAGGGAAGGATAACTCTCGTATACTGTCAGGGGGTGGCGATTTCAGAGTTATGTCCCCGTTGCTTGAGATCTTCAAATACGTGTCCGCCCGCTCATCAGGGATCGAATACTTGAAGACCTGATTATACAGCTCGGGGTCTCGATCAATAGCCATCACTGACCCTATCCGTTCACCGGAAGCATACCTGTAGATTTTGAAGGCCTCCGATTTTTTGCTGAAGGTGGGAGCGTATCTGTTCTTGAGCGACACGATTATCATGACGTGTTTAAAGTCCAGTTCGCTCCTTTGACCTGCATACACAAAGAAGGTCAGAACTGTTCCAACTGACCACCTGACTGTCTTGTTGACGGACAGTATCCCCGTCGTGACGTCCACTTTGAAGCAGCTGGAATTGACGCCGGGTGAGAGATACATCCTCTCCATTGCTGCCCCTGTTACGTCGTCGTAGCCGGTGACGTTGAGGACGGGGGTGCCTGGAGGAGCGTTCTGATAGATGCGGGCGGGGTAGGGAGACACCGTTAGTACTATAGCACCTGTAACAACCACATTGAAATCATGTCAGCATCTTAGGTTAAACACATTAATATTAAGGTTAAACACAGAAATATTAAGGTTAAACACATTAATATTAAGGTTAAACACAGAAATATTAAGGTTAAACACAGAAATATCAAATCTTTCTCGAGCATCGGCGGGTCACTTTGAATTCTGCGCGTCATTCATTGTTGTGGACAATTAAAAATATTTTTCAAATGTCCCGCTTCATACGAAGGTCACTCTGTTATCCATACTTGACAACTACACTGCATTCATTACGGGACCAATGAAAGTTCGATATCGGATAAAAATCTGAATTCCTTAAGATTAATGGCCCTGCAATTTTTCCTTCCAGCAAAATCAACTTACCTAATTTCTCAATGTTTTACATGATTGTAACTAAGCTCAACCCATCCGATTTTCATTCATGTGCTGTTATGAGTTCATCTAGATCAGCGCGTAATATATCATGACAAATTTTGATCTGTAAAAAAACCTACAATAGAATTTCAGCACAGAGAAAATAAACTTCAGTCGGCAAACGCTCTGAAAACAAGAAACTAACCACAAGAATGCATGACAAAAGAGGTCAATAAACTCAGGAATTCAATATTTTCAGAGTTAAGCTTGTTGTCTCAAATCTTAAGGAAAACTAAAGTTTTTTATCCGACATCGAAAGTTTGAACTGGTCTCTTGGGAGTTGAGTTCAATGTGTGCCAGGCTCTGTGGTTCGTATGCTTGTTTGGAAAAGAATATAAAATACATTTAATTTGTTTTTATAAGGATAATAAAAACGCCCAACCTCCTCTCGTTACAGAAAACATTCCCGGGTAATATTTACTTTTTTATACACTGAAACAATACTGCAACACTACTGGGGCTGAGTTTTTATTCGATATGAGCCGTAACAAAAATATTAAACAGATGAGTTCTCACAAGTGTTTTTACTAGATATATCAAACGAGTCTTAGTTAATCGATATTTGCCAAGTCTTTGATATACATTGAAAAACACCAATGGTGATTTTTTTCAGTTTAGAAGAGATTGATCTCTATTGTTAGCTGTATGTGTAGAGGTACATTCAACATTTTTATTGTTTTTAGACACGTTCATTCACCTAGAAAGTGGTTCCTTTAAGTATTGAAATGTTATGAGTAAATTCTGAGTTTGTTTCGTGGATAACTAGACTGTCCCTGTTCCCGTTTCTGACACGATGGTCGTTAATGAGGATCACTGACCACACGTGTCCAAATTTTCGTGTAGCTATAGTAAATACTCTCTAAACCGAACATATATCCACATTAACGAGATTAAACAGAACATCTCTCGTGACGCAAACAGTTTTCGGTAGAGCCTCGGTAATCTAGATTTCAGATTATCCTTAATCAAACATTAGACCATATAAACGAGTTTCTCCCTAATTCCACTGTACCCATTAGCGAGGTTGCATATCATTAACCATTAGAGACTTTACACGAGATCATAAAAAATAGACAATAGAAAAACCACCTGACCATCTTTGCCCTAACAATTGTTACAGAAAACTATTTGAAACCAACATCCTTTCCCCGTATCTTAGTCATACACGTAATTTGAGTAATTCTTCAAGATGCAATTTGTAATAATTTTCCGTTTTAAGACAAACGTCGGAGAGGTTAATTGTACATCAAAATATAATCTCAACAAGAAAATAGATGTTTATGAAACATGATCAACATATAAAGTAAAGCTGTGTAAAATAACATTTTATTTGTATTTTTTAAGTAGGAACTGAACAATATTATTATACGAAGATCAAACATCCTCAGAGACGCTTACAATAACACGGAAAGTAGACGCTTATGAGTTACCAGTGATGTTTACCGTGTCATTATATTCTTTGATAATGAAACTGCACAGTGCAAACCCATGTTTACATTGTAATCATGAGCTGGAACATGTATCTTTTTAAAATAATATAAGGGGTATAAAAGCATAATAGCGGTTTGAAACCACATACCCATTGTCTGGGAAATCTCCAGCATCACAAGGACCCCCAACGTAGTCAGCATGTCTTTCATCCTCATCTTTCACAGACTGCAAATTAAGACAAACGAGTTAATTTCAATTTGACATGTCACGTGGTATATTTCAAACTGTAAACCGTATAAATAATTACCTCACGTGTATAAACTTCACCCCAAATTGTAAAGTAATAAAACTTTAAAGAGATTTGATTAAAAGATTCCAGTAGCCGTGATCGAGAAGAGCAGGTGTAGTTTGACTCAATCACGTGGTATCCTTTAAGACGGCCGTGAAACAAATGGGGGAAGTTTTTTGTCGTTAAACCATGTTAACATTTTCTTCAAGATTCCCAACGAGTTCCCCCTGTCAGTGGCCTCTAATACAGCTCTCAGTCAGTGACTCAACTTCAGTTGAGATTCCGTGCAGCAGAAGTTAGTCCCTCAACAGGTATGTTTTGTTTGTGGCAAAGTTGAGACAACGCTCGACAAATAACAACACAGACCCACAGACCCGTGGGCCGTCACAGGACCCCCCGTGCGGGGAATACCATCCCATAGCCTTGCTCCAAGGCTGTATTGAAAGATAGGTCCATGGATGTGCAGTAATTCTATCCCCATAATAACAAATCAATATATGTGGACCAATGACTGCGGTTTCTTATAGGGACAACTTGTTTTTATTATTTACATAATCTAGAAATTATTATTGAAACTTATAATTAGAGACTTGTGCAAGTCTAACTATCCTGTAATCCCCCGACTCGTTGGCGTGTTACTATTGGTCGATCAAGTGCATACAGTTGGTTTGTACTGGTAGGGTTGTGTTTGAGTTACGGCTGAACGTTGTGGAGAAATAAAACCGGAATTTGGTCGGCCTTCAAAGGCAGTGAATAACTGAGTATACTCGGTACAGAAGTATTGAGCAGTTTTTGTGTTAACTGTGTGATAGGAGTCTTGTTTGTATTGCGGCCAGCCATTGTTGACATGGAGAAGGTATAGATGATCAGTGAGTTTGAGTGAGTGAGTTGGGTTTAACGCCGCTTTTAACAGTATTCCAGTTATATCACGGCGTGTCAGCTTAATGTGGGAGGAAAGCCCGAAGTGATGCAGGTCTAAGACGTTTACCACTTCGGTGAAACCCGCGAGCACGGGTATGGTGCTGACAAACCTAGAAACATAATCGGGGCGAACCGGGATTCGAACCCATTATCATAGGTTTCTGGCGTGCCTAGGGGACGCAACTCTGTACATAGAATTGCGGAGCCTTAGACGACTGGGCCACCTGCGCTCCCTTATAGATGATAAATGACCCGCTCGGGTAAAAAGGCGACGAGGAAAGACATAGACAGACAGGCTGCACAGGCATCAAGATCTCACAGCAGATAAGATTAACCTTCGCATGCACGCGTTACACATCCCGCTATCTCATTAACAGAGAAACCAGTTGATGGGATGACTTTCCTAAGCGAGTTAAAAGTGCAATTTCGTGAGAAAATAAACTTGTCAGTTTTTCTACCAATATGCTCAGCTGCTGAAACAACTTGACCGAACAAACTGGCTACTGGTATTAACACATGACTCTCCACTGGTCAGTCGTGGGAAAGGCAGCGTTTGGATTTGATACTGATACAATTCAGCATCATTAGGCTTGATTTAACCTTGAAGTATACCCAGAAATAGCTTGCTTACATCAGCTCGACAACAAAATTCGTTTACCAAACCCGAGGCGTTGACCCGGGGCCAATCATCCATTTGCAGTGGAAAACCTAAAATCGATACTTCCTGACGAAGTTGCTTCAAAGATTTTCTGATTTAGTTCTACCCATGCGATGAATTTTGCTTAGTTTGGCTAGAGAATCGTTCCTTCTGAAGTTGGTTTATGCCGAGAAAATCGATGCGTTCTGTTCCATCGTTCAATGAGTTTAGGGGCAGTAGGACCAGCGCGATGCCGGATATTATATAACTCCCCCCACCTCGATTTGTGATGTAGCTCCAGTTGAGTAATATAAAAAATAATGAAATTGACACAAGTGTAAGTTTATCGATTTGCTTTAACGATTGGAGTTTCGGAGAGTTTCAAAACTTGCCCAATTTAGAACATTTTCGCGATGAATAGCTGAATGCGTTTGAGAAAAGCAATCAGAGATGTTTAATGATGTTTAACGATGTTTAATCAGCCAAGAGTCACATCGTCTTGTCAATATAGCAGGAACATGTTTGTATCCCAGAATATGGAATCGCGTTTGCGTTTATTAACAAATATTGACTACTGGGTGTTCAGTTGAATCCCGAATGACGACTTGAAACAAGGTCGTGCATGGATTAATAATCGGTGATGGAAAACCAAGCTCTTAATTTTCTTAGTTTCAAATACAAATGTCGAAAACTCTTTAGTCATGTCCATATACCACGTGTGTTGGTCAGCTGTGATTCCCGCGGTATATCGATGCATATAACAGTGTATCAAAGTTACGTCCATTGCTTTTTTTGGAGATGAGTCGAGGTGAAATGGGGTTTAACTTGGCGTTAAAGATTATTGGACTTACATAGCAACATACACACTCGCATGCGTGCGTGCGCCGGTGTGGCTGCTTGTTATAGACCGGACCAAGGCCGGTTTACAGTGCTCGCTTACTGAGATACCATGCCGCAGTTTAACATGAATACCCCACTCAGACACAGTAAACTGACTCCGAGCCGACCAGTCTTTGTTTCATCCCCTTACAGGCATGGTAACAACAAGTACCATCTTTTAACGCATTTTGGTATGACGCAGTCAGGGGACCGAACCCCCGACCTTGCGCTCTCGAGGCGGACGTTCTATCCACTAGGCAACGGAGGCGGTCTGCTAGATTTGGAATATCAGCTAGTTAGAGATTCCAAAGCAATGGAACTATATGTGTACAGCAACAAGACATTGCGACATACCAGTTCCATTTTACAAGACCGCCTCCGTGGTTTTGTGGTAGAGCGTCCGCCCGGAGAGCGGAAGGTCCGGGGTTCGATCCCGGGCTGCGTCATACAAAAAGACGTTAAAAGATGGTACTTGTTGTTACCCTGTCTGGCGCTCGGCATTAAGGGGCTAAAACAAGGACTGGTCGGCTCGGAGTCAGTATACTGTGTCTGAGTGGGGTATTCATGTTAAACTGTGGCATGGTATCTCAGTGAGCTAGCACTATAAATCGGCATCAGTCCGGACTAGTACAAGCAGCCACACACACACATACACGTGCATGCACGTCGCTATATAAGTGCAATAATCTTGGACGCGACGTTAAACCCAATTTCACCTCACCTCCATTTTACAGTTTCTCCATACATGTACATATATTCCACGGTATAACAATTACCAATAGTTTAAATTTTGAGTTTTTTTACATTTTTTCTTCCTTTTTATGTACCCATGAGAACAGCATGTTCAATTTTGTAAATACCTTTGACAGAGACTGGCCACAGCATGAAGAGTTTCTGGACAAATGGGTTTCCAGAATTAAAATGGGACGTGTTACACGCATACTAACAAACTTTGAAATATAACAATTAGGAAGTTATCTTGCTATTTTTCTGTTTGTGCTGTCTTAAAGGCAAGTGCACGTTGTAGTTATTAAACTAATTGTCGTGTACAAAAAAGGCATTTAAAATGACGTATTTTGGTCACATGTAGCCTTACTCAAAGGCTTACTGTATGATAAGTCCACGGATGTGTTGCAGTTATATCTTTACAATAGGTAAGTGTAGATAAGCTGACGCTAGTCTTTATAGATGCAACGTATTCTTATTATTTATATCATCTAGAAATTATGATTAAAACAAATAATTATTGATTCAAAGACTTGTGCAAGTCTAGGTCACATTTGACTTTAGAGCTTCCATCCTTCGGGTATCGGTAGCTGCCTTTCTGTAATGAGGCCACGATAATCTCAATCTTAGGTTTTCTAGTCAGAAATAACTCGAAGCAAGATATGTTTTGCCTTAGAAACTCAAGGAACACATTATTATTTGTTTCTTTAAAATCGTTTGTAGTTCATATGTTATTGATTTGTACCATAATGGTATTTATGTATCAGCAGTTATTAATGCTGATATGATGGTATTTAAGGTACTGTTCAAGACATCGTATCTTTGATGATATTACCCATAAGGGTATGATAGTATGAAATAACTTTCCGATATTTGAACATTCTCAATGCTGATTGGTCAAAAAAAGCTATCATACTTCCCCGTTCTTCATAGTTGAGAAAAATACGATATGACGTCATCTATTGTTTATGACGTCACAAACTGATTACATGACGTCATCCGAACACTAGACTGCCTTCAGTGGAGTTTATCAATTGGTTCACATTTCATACGTTTTTCTTCATTTTATCTCTTAAAATTTCAATGAGTAATGTAATAGCATAATCAAATTTGGAATTACGGATTATTTCCCCTCGTTAATGAATGCAGTAAGTCCCTCACTATAGACTCGGGAATAACGTAGCTCGCTGGTTATTCTCTTAGTATTCTACGTCATTCAGTCTCAAACTTGTTCCAATGACAACTAGACCGCCTCCGTGGTCTAGTGGTAGAGCGTCCGCCCGGAGAGCGGAAGGTCCGGGGTTCGATCCCCGGCCGCGTCATACCAAAAGACGTTAAAAGATGGTACTTGTTGTTACTCTGTCTGGCGCTCGGCATTAAGGGGCTAAAACAAGGACTGGTCGGCTCGGAGTCAGTATACTGTGTCTGAGTGGGGTATTCATGTTAAACTGCGGCATGGTATCTCAGTGAGCTAGCACTATAAATCGGCATCAGTCCGGTCTAGTACAAGCAGCCACACACACACACACACGTGCATGCACGTCGCTATATAAGTGCAATAATCTTGGACGCGACGTTAAACCCAATTTCACCTGACCTCACCTTCAATCACAACTGTGTTAATAAGGTAAGGTATATCTATATAATGAAATGATATACCTCACACATACCTCTGTTAAACCGCCCACGCCACCTGGTGTCCCAGGGATGCTGAGAATGGGGTCGAAACCAACTGATCTGTGTACACAGGAGTAGTGCATCATCACATGCCGG